TGGGGGCTATTTTTAGTATGCATTCGACGGACTAGAGTACGTTCGTACGACAGAATTAAATGTAGATAATCTCAAACTTCCATTTGCTTCTGCCACCAGGTTCGTACGGTTACACCAAAGCGACGAACCAAACCGGGAGATATTTCTACAGCTTCCGGGTGATGATCGTGTCTCCGAGTTTGGTCCTATCGAGTGGGCGTGGTCGGCTGAGTTTCAGTGCTTACCTCTGGACACACCTCCACCCGGTTCAGAAGGCGGACAATCTACCCACCTTCAGGGTGAGAGGGTGTGGTGATGAGATTAGCTGGTCGCTGCAGGGACGCACCGCATCCTGGCAGGATGTGGACATCCCCATCCACTGCAACAAAACATTTGAGGTAAGGCCTTTGATGAAAGGCTCTATGATCATTCCTAACCCATTTGTATATATCCCAATGGTCCTCAGCCCCAATATTCCTACTTTTGAATGGCCTTCTGTCCCATTGGTCCTTTGATCCATTAAGGAGGAGCGATACCTCAGTCGGTAGAGCAGTGGTCTCGTAATCCGGTGACCCGGGTTGGAAACCAAGGCAATGCGTTAGTACCCTTTGGTAAGGCATTAATCATCCTCATTACCAGGTCTCTCGGAGAGGACCTAAAGCCATCGGTCCTCTGGTTGCTTACTAACAAGCATTTATGCTTTCTCAGCAGTCAGGTAAAATAACCACCATTACACACACTCAGTACTACATTGCGTCCTATTGGACCTACGCCCCATCGGTTTGTCCCATGGATCCTCTGATCGTACATCCCTCTGGGTCTACGTCCTACTATGTCCAAACTAGATTCATTCATACACAGGATTTGACCAACTTGGTTTCAGTTGGTCACAACGTGGCGAATGTTCTTTTTGTTTGGTGCTTACCCAACATAGCAGTATTCGCCATAGTGCGCCCAACTCGAACCGGGTCGGACAAACTCTCCTAATCAATGGCACCGGGCCTTAAACCCCCTTTTCCTATGTCCCATTGGTCATTGGGCCCATTGATTCTACGTCCAATTAGTATAACGGATTTCAGGCCTGTACCAGCTTTTAAAGGGAATTTCGCTAGGCACCTAGGAGATTTTTGTAAAGTCCTCATATTATCGGGCCTGGTTTTACTCGGACAAGTAGGGCTAACGAGCACCAAGAAGTCCAACCGCAGGATGAAGGTTCTGCTCCATCGAATCAATCAGACCATTAAATCACTTGAAATGGTAATTAGTGATAAATCATGAAGAGCATCATATCCATGGCGCTTTAGAAAGGGGAGAATGAGTTCCGCTCTTTAATTTGAAGGATTAGAGTTAGAGTTAGGGAAGTGACATTATTAGTCTCTTGCGTAACGTTGTTAAATCAAATTGGTTTCTTCCCTCAATCTTATTAATCAATCGGGTCGAACAAAACTGTATAAGAATCACATCTTATATAACTATAACACTAAAGATGGCGACTCTTAATTTTAAAAGTCGTTATTGAGACTGCGTTTTCTTTTGAGCAAGCACAATCTTCTAGGTATCTTCTTAGTCCCTTTCCTGGTCACTTTTTTCTTTGTTTTAAACTTCTCTCATTATCTTCGCTTATTCTTTGTCATTAGCATAATTTTCTCATTTTCCCGTCATTTACAGTTGGTGTTGGAAGTCATTCACCGGATGCCGGGGTCAAGTGTAGCTATAGACGACATCCGGGTCACCAGTATGCTTGATCTGAGTAAGTTAAAAGACTAGAACATCTTATGGTGTCGACATTAACTGTTTTTTTTTTAAAGTCCGCCGCACACTATAAGGTCGGATTTTGGAATAATTTAAAATAGCATTTTATATGAACATTCAAACATGTAAATCTTAATGACCAAGGATCTTGATAGTCAGGTGATTATAATCTGAACGTCAAGTAATTTCATGCTTCTTTGGCAGAGGAAAAGCTCAATCGGTTAGAATTGTAGTTACGTCAGACCAATAGTGCAATCGTGCAATCGATATATAAATCAAAGGGGTAATCCACATAAAAATGGGAATGTCCCTCCTCCCCACACCAAATTTGACATACCCGGTGATTGTTTAGTTGAGAATTATGTTCTGTAAATTACATTTATGCGCACTCCTCAACTTGCTATTTGTACCTTCAAGTGATTATAACCCCCCCCCCTCTCTCTCTCTCTCTCTCTCTCTCTCCCATTCTCTGCTGCAGAGGACCACATATTCAACCGAGTGACGTCATCCTCCTTCAACCACTATGACTTTACATCAACTACACCTCCAACCACGACGACAGAAGAAGGGGCTTCGGGCAACAGGTCCCTTCTTATCACATGTAAGTCTATCTACAAATTAATAATTTAACAATAATTATATTTAAAGGGGCGTCTTTAGAAGCGGTGAGGGTTGTGAGCTCTCCCTCACTTCAAATTTTGATTTTCATAATTTGAATCGTTCAACCTATTTGGACAAATGGAAAAAAACACATAAAAACTCTTTAAAATATCTTGCTCGTCATGATATAGTATTGTTGCCACCCTCTAAATTTAAAGGTGTAATGAGAAGTTATTATGACATATAATCTTAATTTGGTTTCATTTTCATGCGTTAACATCTGGGCCCTGTCTTATAAAGAGTTGCGATTGATCCGAATCAATCTTAAGTCCTCCAATCAATCGGTATGCGATAGTGTGCCTAATTTTTGAAAAACTTTTGTCGAGATGAGTTTGAAGTTATGTTTTCATTTCTCATTTATGCTCTTCCTTATGCTCCGAAACACTTCATCTCTTTGGGTCTAATCGACGGCGCTATACTGTACAGTCAAAACTAATTATAAAATGGTCTGATTTTAGAAGATTAACGTAACTAATTTTGCTCCAGCTCTTTAAAAATTGATTAAACAAGATATGTAATATAACAAGGTACTTTCCATGGATAAAATGAAGGTCATCGTTATATCGAGGTTCCACTGTAACTAGGTAGATAACATGGATTTGCCGGTGACTATTAATGTTCTCCCATACTGATTGTTATCTCCTATTGTAGTATCTGGGCCTACCATCGGCGCTATAGTGGGGATTATCCTCGTCATACTCCTTCTCAATCTCCTTATCTTCATCATCCTCAGATTCAAGTAAGTCATTGTTTAATGTTAATGATGAGTTACCATGGCAACATGGTATTTATAAGATAACGTGCACTGTGGAGAAACGGCGATTAAGAAAACAAATGGGGGAGGGGGTCGAGAGAGAGAAAGAAAACAAATGTTGGGGATGATTTTGTTCGATCCGAAGCAGGAAAGTGAGTGTCATTTTATTAAATTTCGAAAACTTGCTTAGTAGGGAGGGGGGGGGGGAGGGTTTAAAAAGAACAAAAAGAACAATGATCTGTTTTAAATCTGTTTTAAATCTTGAAAAAAAATGGCAATTTTTTTTGTATTTGTTTTAAAGAATGTTTATAAGTGACAGAAGCATAGGCAGCATTTACCCGTGTCAGATGATGAACGTCTTCTATCTTAATATCTATCATCTTTTTTTTAAAAGCTTTTCTCCATTTTTGTCTTCAGTTGTGACTGATGATCATCTGTTCAAAATCTCAAAGTTAGACGACTTTACCGACCTCCCAAACAATCTATCCATTGGAACTATCCGACGTGTATGAATTTCTATTCATCTGTTTACGTTTCGTTTCTCTGTTTCTCAGGGTTAAAAGTGGGAAGAGGAGGCAGGCCAGCCTGAGACGCCAGAACAATCCAAGTAACACGAACGAACCATCGCAAGGTACAGAAGCAGGTGTTAACAACAAGGACACCATCCCTGCAGATCGCCGAAAGAAACATTACATCGACGAAGACAACTACATCGTACCTGACGAAGGTTTCTATACCGACGATCTCGAGAATACCTGCGATTCCTTCATGGATACCTCCACTTCAGGAGACATGCAGAGGTCATGTGAAACACACTACACCGGGTTGTCCATTGTTAGGACGTCCTTGAAAGAAGGGTCGTGTGAGAGTCCACAACCCGTTGGTGAACAGAAATATTCTACGGCACTAGAGCGACCGGCAATTTCGTATTCTGTGAAACGGAAAGCGCCTCTGAGACCGACGTCGTCTTTGCGTTCGAACGATGGAAGAGAGGATTCGTCCGCGCCGAGGAAACCGTTAGCACCGAATCCGCGCAAGGAATCGCTGACGCCAGAGGCTGTGGTGTTTTATCCAAATGGGAGGAGAAAAGAGTCTATACCACCTGAGCTATCGTTGTCGCCTAGAGGAGGTAGAAGGAAAGAATCGCTGACTCCGGAGGCTGTAATGTTTAATCCTAATGGTAGGAGAAAAGAATCTTTAACCCCTGACCTGCAATTGTCTCCCAGAGGGGGTGGAAGAAAACAATCGCTCACTCCGGAGATCCCTTTGCCGCTGTACAAAAGAAAGGAATCCCTCACTCCAGAGATACCCGTCATGTTAGTTACTGGAAGACGTAAAGATTCGGTATCTCCAGAAAGTCCAGTAGCACCGAAGGTTGGCAAGAGAAAGGAGTCATTGGTACCCCAAGGCACTGGAACATTACCGGGCGCGGGTAAACGAAACGAATCTCTAACGCCTGACACACAGGTGCCACCACAAACTGGAAAGCGGAAGGAGTCCTTGACGCCAGAGAAACCAACTATTTTAGTTCCGGGGCGACGCAAACAGTCACTCACACCTGAAGCGCCCTCTTCTATGCCACCAACAGGCAGGCGTAAAGAATCCCTGACCCCTGAGACACCAACAATGCCACTACCCGACATCCCTCGCATAGTACCCCCAACGATAAAAGTCAATGATGCCTGGTCATCCCCAGGCTACACCGAGCTATCCTACATCAGAAAATCAATCCGCAAGGACTATGAAAATACGCAGATTGATGAAGTTGACAACAGCGACAAGATCACCATACCAAAGGGCAATTTGTTGAACGTCAGCCAGGACGAGACTGGTTACCTTACGCCGTCGGGTCTATCGGGTGGCCTCCCCGTCTACGAGTCTGCAGATCCCGTCAAGTTTGCTCGGGAACGGGCCAAGAGGAGCACCAGGAAACTCATACACGAATACCATGATCTCGGTCATTCGAACAATAAATCTCATCCGCAGTATGAATCGACGGTAATACTTGGTACAACACCTCCGCAACGCATGACGATATCCACCATATGGGACGCAGACTCAGACTACGAAGAATTGCATATCTGAATACATGTATATAAACTTCGATATTTAAATGTTCACCCTAGATGTGCTGATCTAGCGTTCAACATGGCACCAAACATGTCTTTAAATGCAACAATAACAGCATTGGTGGCAATAAAGGACGCATATGAGACGAGGATTCAATTTATGAAAATGTAAATCTCGTCTATATTCGACGATAAGTGATATCTATGCATTCGTATGATCTCAAATGAAATGTTGGATGGATTGATTAAGAAAAGATGCGAAGAATATCGTGAAGTTTCATATGAACTTCGAGCAACTAATTTTGAAAGTCCATGAACACCATTAGTTGTTTACTACGATCAGGCTAGCTAAAATTATTTCTTCAATTTTGTAAAGCATCCACTTTGTGCTTGGACTGGTACAAGGGCGAGGATGTGTTGTTCTTTTCAATTCAACTTGCTGAGGTGTAAGGATTATTGTTCTCCTACTTCTAGCTTCTTTTGATGAAAGACTATGTCATGGAATGATGTCAAACTCTTGTAATAAGATATTATAATTTTGCATTTTACTTCATTCCGTGGTGAATGTTTTCATGTTTTCTTTAAAAAAAAAAAAAACTTCTGACTTATGGTCTGATCCCTATGAAATGTGTAGTATTGTCTACAAGCATCGAGTTAACCAACCCTAAAAAAGACAGTTCTAAATCGTGCTCCATGAGGTCACAAGGATATACATGTATATACAGTCAAACCTGTCTATAGCGATCACCCAAGGGAAACACAAAAAGTGGCCTTTGTAGACAGGTGGTCTTTGTAGACAGGTTCCTTTAGTACACGATTCAATGAGAAACCATTTTCAAGGGAAACAACAAATGTGATCTTTGTAGGCAGGTGGTCTTTGTAGGCAGGTGGTCACTAAAGCAGGTTTGACTGTACCTTTTTTCAGGGGGGGGGGGGTGGTAAGACGTTTCAGTTTCGACTTGAAGTGTAAATTGCGTATTAAGCCGTCAATCCTACAAACATAATGCTATGAAAGGAAAATTATAAAAGCGTCAAATGACGAGAAAAGAAACTGTCTGTATTGATGATGTATGGCCTTAAAAGATACCGAAGTGCCTTTTAAAAATCTTCTTGGGACAAATCCAAAATAATAAATATTTTATGGCCCTCTCCTCATGATACACAGGAGTAGTTTGACTGTACTCTTATCTTTATCTTCTTGTTTGTACATTGTGTAGAAAGAAATAAACCAAATATATGTATATATGATGATTTGTATATTCTTACTATAGTCCGTAAAAGAATGATTGTGTATAACGGACTAAGAACTCAAAGAAGTATTCAATAGATTTAAGTATGTACCTACTTGAATATGGAGAAGACGATTATGTTTCTATGACTCTGTATTAAATGTCCATAAATTTTCTTTGAAAAAGAATAGTGACATTCGTTTTCTTGCCTTGAAATTAGTGCTTCATATTACATAAAGTAACAATAAGTTCAAGCCAACTCCAGCAAATCATTTTTTTTCTTCTTCACGAACTTTCAAGTAATTCACACTCTAACAAGAAATTCTTATAAACTGTATGTTGGCTTCTTTCCAATCGTCAGGATATTAGTGTTGGCAATTCATCGATATACATGTCAAGATTCAAGAATAAAACAACACACAGGCCCTTGGCAGTCACTGCCCTAACCGAACCTGAAATAGCACAATCATGACACACACTTGATCTATCCACAGTGATACTCAGACAGACCACATCTCTAGGACCTGGGGTGTTTCACAAAACTTGTCATCAGTGAAAAATAACAGTTTTTGTTATAAGCTACTAAAATCCTTGCTTCTGATTGGTTATCAGCAGATTTGTCACTGATTTTGTCATTTTGTCATTGAAAAGAGGCTTTGTGAAACACCACCCTGGTTTACATATTTTTGATGCTTTCGTAAAGCAGTTACTCATCCTTAAAGGTGAAGTCCACCCTGAAACTAAGTCACTTTTATTAAAGGAAGAAAATGAGAGGAACATGTAAGTGAAAGTTTGAGCAAATTCCTATTGAAAATAAGAAAGTTACGAATTTTTAAAGTAGCCACACAATACGTCACAAGATACGTCACAGTGTTGCCAATTTGTGTTTAATTGATCGCAACTTGAAAAATTCATCAATGTCTTGGTTTTAATTGGAATTTGCTGAAACTTTCACTCTCATTTTTCTGCTTCTATTAAAACTGACTTCATATCAGCATGGATCTCCCCCTTTAAAGATAAAGATATGATGTGCCTATGCTCACTTAATATCAGCGTTACACAGTACAGTACAGTATCTATGCTACGGAATATCTAGTGATAGAATTACTCAATCAACAAATACACAAGATAAATAGACCAATGCAAACAAAGAGCATTGAGAGTTCAAACATTTAGGCTTTAATACCAGTAGTACAAAAACAATAAGAAAAAAAGAATGAAGCAAATCACTTCATGTGCACTTTTGTACATTGTATTATCACTCAAAGCATTCACAAAATGCCAATACAAATAACATTAACACTTCACAATAGTTAATATTTTCACAGCACTATCTATTCTGAGCACAATATAAGTACAGGGATTTCTTTTGTTTAATTTATTTTTATATGGAATGAGTTTCGAAATGTCATTCCATGAGCTGACACACAAGACAGGTGATCCCAGATACTTCTCTCACAGAAATGGACCTTTTCTCTTTGATTTAATCACAATCGTAACCAAATTCACTTTTCTTTCATATAAATGAAGAAAAAATAGCATTAGGAAATACTTACGAGCATGAGACAAGTACATCAAGTACATCTTGCACTTGGAACAAAGCTCCTAGTGATTTAGTTTAATGTTACATTGCAGGGCCACTGAGAGAAAAGTTGGTGAAACTGAACATATAAAGGCCCCATCTTGCAATCAATCTCAATCAATTCTCTTCTCAATCACAAATTTGCAACTGCATATTTCTAATGTACACAGTTGCGACTGATATCAAACTTGAGTCCTGAGTTGAAATACAATCAATTTAGATTAATCGCAACTCTCAATGGGAGAGGGCCCTATTCTTATACTTAACATTCAGACCAACAAGTGTTCATTTATGTCTGAAAACTACCCTTTCTTTGTGCCACTGTTTGGTTACTTCGAGTGTTGTTGCTAAGGTCATCATGGTCCCGTGGTCTGTGATCTTAATCATCAAGTCTAACCACAAGGCTTTTAATGACCCACTTAAGGTCAAGTGAATACACCTCATGACCGAGAGGGAGAGAGAGACAGAGAGAGGAGGGAGAGAGAGAGAGAGGAGGGGGGGGAGGGAGAGAGAGAGAGAGAGAGAGAGAGAGAAAAGAAAGGGAGAGAGAGGGTAAGGAAGCTTGTGGTCAGTGAGACATTCCTGTAACTGCCTAGAGATCAAAACATGTGATGGATGAAAACATGTGATTTAAGTTTGGCGGAAAGGGAGATTAAATTTAGCGAGAAGTGTACATGTACTGTTCTGTCATGAAACGAAACCAAGGATAAGATAATTTCCTAAGGATGATTAAATGAAAAAAGAGAGATTATACATTACAAGCTTGAACAGGCACTTGCAGGTTCTGTTTTGATCAATTTCCCCTACAACAAACTACTTTTAAAAGCATTGCATTGTGCACTATTCTGGTGTCTAAGAGAGGGAGTGACCTCTAAGTGATATGAGAAGGATGTTGCAATAATTAATATTCACTGTGATATATGTAGAACACAGAGTGACACTGTGATGTCACAGTGATGTAGTAGCCTCAGGTTGATCTCATAGCAACCCTTCACTTTTACTCAAACCTGTCCACTATCTTGGGGGAAATTTATTCAAATGCTTATTTGCAGGACTAGTATTTTTTTCACACCACATACAATTTATTATTTTTAAACAAACAGACTGCATTCATTTTGTGACACCTACCAAAAGGTTTATCATAAACTGCATATATCAAATATTCTTCACAAGGTAATCATTGGATTCAATGACTTTAACCACAAAATATGCTATCTCAGACTTTTTTCACTTTTAGAAATTTTCGTTCTCAAGAAGTGGACTGTATGTGATCACAAAGGATGAGATAGCACAATTAATGGTTAAAGCAATAAATTCCATGAAAAAAAAATCTTGCACTGAACATAATAATCATCATCTTCCACTTCAGAAGATGGCTGATCATTACAACATAGGGACCACATGCCACTCATTATGATAAATACATAGAAGCCAACCATCTCCTCTAGACGGTCAAAGGTCAACTTTACATCAGCCGAGAGGTCAAAGGTTACATCATGCCGCCCATGCCGCCCATGCCGCCCATGCCTGGATGACCTCCTGGGTGACCCTGAGGTGGTTCCTCGGCGTCGAGCTTGATGAGGTCATCAATACGCAGGATGGTGATGGCGGCCTCAGTGGCGAACTTCAGACATTTGACCTTGCAGATGGCGGGTTCAAGAACGCCACACGCTTTGTTGTCTCGTACGACTCCATTGACCAGGTCAAGACCAATCCTAAGAACACAAATGAAATACAACAGATTTAAAATCGAACAGAAGCACTGTCCTTTAGGAAACTATACTCACAAGCAATATTCACACTCTATGTAACTTTATCCTAAAACGTAATAGCATAATAATATTACACTTGTAAAGCTCCTTTCCCACTGGATAAAAGCTGCTTTAGTAGCCAATAAATGCTTGTTAGTAAACCAGAGGATCGAAGGCTTTAGGTCCTCTCGGAGGGACCTGGAAATGAGGATTAATGCCCTACCAAAGGGCACTAGCGCTTCGACTTGGTTTCGAACCTCTACCAACTGAGCTATCGCACCATTCTGGATATCTAAAAAAAAATGGCATATCAACTACAAGCCTCTTACCACTTTAGATGTGAGTGGCCTGCCTGTAGCTGGGATGTATTATGGTAAGCCCTGAGCTTAGCCACAAGGTCCACAGAGTCCTTGGCAGCATTGACTGCGAGCGTCTTGGGAATGACCAGGAGAGAGTTGGCAAACTCAGCAATCGCCAACTGCTCACGAGAACTCTGCAGAGGAAACAAACGTCAGTGTTATAGAGGTATAACAATGGCAACTAGATTGCATTCCCCAAAAGGACATCTTAAAGCCCATCTGCACTAGTTTGGCTAGGGGGATTAGACCTCCCTGCAAGGTCACTGACAGGTGGTTATCTCATCAACTCAGCTCTCAATTAACATAAGAAAAAGAGGATCATGGGGGACCAACAGTCACCGATTGGGGAAGTTTTCTATATAGAGGGAGCAAGTAGTTACAAGTAGTACAGTGGGGCTTTAAGATGTCTGACAATATGCCTTGCTCTAAAAGCCAAAATATTTACTGCATCACATCTACATGAATCAAGAAATGAAGAGTGGGAAAATAATTCAATGAAAAAAATTGCATTTTACCAAACTTCCTAGGTAGAATTTGCTTAACTAAGTAAATCAGCACTGCAGCACCATAAAAGAAGGTGTTAAAACAATCAGAGCATTTAAGCTATTTTAAATTACTCATTGAAATTCCCCCTACACAAGGGGAAATTTCCCTTCAGATTTATCATTCTTTTGACTCACATTCTTTGTTTGAAAACAAAAGTGTTAGGTATAAGAAATTCATATTTTCCTCGTACTTTGCTCCTCTTATCATCCCCTTTCATATGTCATACTGCTAGGAGTCGCCATTGAATTACTTGAATGAAATGAAGCAATAATAATATAATATAACCTGGGGTGTTTCACAAAGACTAAGATCAACTTGAAGTTGGAGTTAACTATGGCAGGTTGTTCATGCCACTGTTTGCTCTCACCATTTACTGGCATTGGTTTCTGAAAGGACATATAAATCGTGGTCACAAATCTACATTTTATGATAATTCATTATTGAAGGAAATAATATTATCTAAAGGTCATAATTGAGAGACCAATGGTGAGAGCAACCAGTGGCGTAAATGGCCTGTCATAGTTAAGTCCAACTTAAAGTCGATCTTAGTCTTTGTGAAACACCCCCACAGGTGCCCTTGACTAACTTACCAGTGAGGTTGCTAGATTCTCCAAATAGATGGAGAGGGCCGATTCCACGGCTCCTCCTCCTACGACCACAGACTTGCTCTCGATGACACGCTTGACTACACAGAGGGCATCATGAACGGATCGCTCCATCTCGTCGCATTGGTTGTCATTGGCTCCACGCAGGATCATGGATGCTGCACTGCGGACCTTGGGTCTGTAAAACAAGGTAGTCAGGATATACATTTACTCAACATAAACATAAGAACAACATACAACTGCACAGTTTTGCAATTTTTATATCGCACCATATCGCTACATGCTTATGAGAAAATGACCTGGGCCCTAGTCTGCAGGCACAGACCCTAATCTGACACTTAATCAAAAAATCATTGTGCCTTGAGAGAAGTCTAGCCCAGCTACCTAATGGTTGTGTCAGGAGCAGCTACAGTACATGGCCTATGGTAGTCTTATACTGCAGACTCACTTTTACGACTGACCAGGGTTTGTGCTTGCAGACTACCTGGGCCCCGTCTTACAAAGAGTTGGTTTCAATCATAACTTATTTGCGATTGATTTGGATCAATCGTAACTCTTTGTAAAGAGTTGTAAAGAGTTGTAAAGAGTTTATATTAATCACAATTTATTTGTGATTGATATCAATCATAACCCTTTACAAGACGAGGCCCTGGTTAACCCTACAAGGAATAGGGTGAGGGGGAGGTGGAATCCATCCCCTCTGACTGAGAGAGAGAGATGGAGAGAGAAAGCATCAAATAACACAACTTCTTTAGGGTAACAGGGAGTATTTTCTCAATCTAGTTCAAGATAGATAACTGTACATCAATGAAATACTCTGCGTTGTACTGGGATTTGAACTCATACTCTTTATGTCAGGAAAAACCATCATAGGTGAATCCTTATAATTTCTGATGATAATTCAAACTTGAAAGCACAATCACAACAAAGAGAAACCAGGAACATCATAAAATCAATTTCCATTTTTTAAATATATTTTTACTTACACATGTAATATGCACCTGCACAACAAGAACAAAAAGTTAAATTGTGGAATAACAGGATATGTGAAAGTCTCCACATACACACACACAATCAGTGCATTTATCTTCATCACCTTGAAGCAGCACTTACACTACAGGAAGATGAATTTACAATATAATGTTCGAGATCCTAATTTACCCCTTGATGAGAAGGAGTTCGTCATCTGACACACGTTCCTGTACCACCTCCTCGGCCTGTCCAAGCATGGCAGCTTCAAACGTCTCCTCACCATCCAAGTTAGCCAGGGTGACGAGCAGTTGAGCTGCAAGGCAAATAGAGTAAAGAACATTTAAAAAAAATACATAATTAGAAAGATAATTGTGGCCCTAATGACTTTCAGAACTTAATTTAAGACATATCTATTTCAGATTGCTCACAATTAGTCACTGCTTTTTTGTCTTTCCCAGTTAGAATCATGAATAGACCATTTTTGGTAGTTTTTCAGTCTCATCAGCGCCTTTGATTAGGCAACTAGATATTGGAGCTTTATAAATACCTGGATTGGATTGGATTGGAATGATGATGTATATGATGATCTAATTGAGGATAAAATGATGAATGAGGGTGATGGTGAAGAATATGATTGTGTGAAAGATTTTCTCTCATCATGAAAGTATGAATATTTAATTTGAACGCTCGACATGGAGTGCATGTTCAAAGTGTTTGTGTCAAAACGCGAAAAATCAAATGGAAGCGTACAAATTCACTCTTCGCATTGGCAACAACTGATTTCTTTCCACTTCACATTCATTTTACAATTCAAACACATGCCTTGTGGTCCATCCCATCACATTAATCAATTGTATCCTAATGCAGAGTAGAAGTGTCGTGGTCGAGTGGATATGACAAGACATTTATCTTCATTTGCCACACCCAACCCAGGTGAGGTACGTGGGTACCTGGTAGGTTTATTCCTTGAAATGGACTGTGCGCTGATAACGGCTACCAGAGCTAAAGCCAGGGTAATAATTTCCAAAGCTCTTTGGAATTTTATAGAGATGTTATCTCATAACGTATTATGCGCTATACAAGAACTGAATATTATTATTATTATCTTTCTCACCTCCTGTAGCCTTGGCGATCCTCCTGAGATCCTGCTTCTTGCACCTCCTGACGGCCATGGCACCTGCCTCTACAAAGTACTTGAGACAGAGGTCATCGATACCACCGGTGGCCAGGATCACATTGGCTCCAGCATCTAAGATCTTTTTAATCCTCTCCTTTGTGATGTCAGACTCCCTGAAAGTTATCAAAATATCATGATCAATACTGGCAGCAAAACAAACTGATAATAAAAACTTTAATTAAAAGGCATTCAACCAGATGGCTATGGGAACTGTGTGTTTCATGTTGTAAGCCTATGAGAAAGAGCAAATTCAATAGGAAAGGGTAAAAAAATTCTTGATCATACAATTAAGGTTTTTAGCAGGCCTGTATTTGCCCATCGGACAGCACAGTACAGCCGCACAAAATAGACCTGAAGCGATTAAGTCACCGAGCTATCCCAAAGTGTATTTAAAATAGGGGTATTTGGGATATCAAAAACTGAGTGAAATATTGTCTAGCAGCAATTTCAGGGGGTGGTTTGGGATCAAAGTAATTGAAAGCCTGAAGTGTACATTGACATATTGATTACCCTCGTTGGTACCCCTGTCGCAGAGAACTTTCCCTTGGTATTGACATTCTGAACCCCCCCCCCCCTCCCCGAGTTTCCAATCCTTTCCAAAAGATATTTAATATAGCGCCTTTTCCTTGTGGTTACAAAGCGCTGCACACACCGCTCCACAATGTTTGGGCCACTTATAAACAAAATTTAGTCACATCTCAGAGATCAGTTAAGTACATGTATACGTAGGCTGGTAATAAAGTAATTTCTAGCAGAACAGATGTGACTTGAATAATTTCTTGAATTGGTCAAGAGACGATGCCTTCTGCACAGCAGTAGGTAGCTAGTTCCACAATTTTGCAGTGACCGATGGGAAAAATATTCACTGCGTTTGGTACTAGCCCAAAGATGAAATGGAAAGTAGAGAACATTCATAAGTCACATGCTTTGTGGTCAATTACTTACATGTACCAAAATCTGAACTTTAACCCTTGACCAAATACTATACTTAACCCACTGGATCACCCCTTTATACAAGTTGATTGTTCATTGTACTCACCTTTGACGGATAGCATCCAACTTCTCTGGGTCGTCTACGATGACATGGACACCTAGATGCATCTTAGTCTTCTGAAGACTGAAGTCTAGACAGGCTATCTTCGCACCTACGATTCTCTTCAACATTGCTACAGTGGAAAAAATGAGGAACATAGAATCAGCCTCGATATGCCTTTTTTCCATATGTGCTTCAGATTGGATCATGGAAAATTTGGTTTAAGTTTTATTGGTGTGTATCATTCATTTATAAATTTATGGATATGAAAAGTTTCAATTCCAAGTAGTCTTGAATCAGACAAACAACAAGCAAATGGATACTTTTAATGTTAATTATTCCATGACTGCAACACTTATTGGCTTATAGGACACAGAATGACAATTTTTCAAGACTCGCCAAAATCAATGAGCCATTTTATCTATACAATCTATGCATGAGCAGATAAATGTAATTGATAACAAACTGTAAGATACCTATCGAGACAAGCACTGGATACATGTTGACAGTTATGTACTCATTACCCTCCAATGGGCATTTCTTGTTGCACCAGAGTGACTATTCCTCTCAAAGAAAAAACGGATATTGGTGACATCTCTACATTTAAAAGATCTGTAAATCTGTCAAACTGTGTACTAACACAAAACTAGGGGGGGGGGGGTTGTTTCACAAAGATCCAAAGTCGAACTTCACTCCAAGTTGGACTTAAAATTTATGGAGAGCCATTTGTAGCCCTTAAATAAAATATATTCAAAAGCACAAACTGGAAGTATTTTAGACTTTTCACCAATTTCACATCAAAAACACGAAATCTCCTCGATAATAGAAATATGAATGATTTGAATCAACATTTTATGCTTTATAAAATAACTTTTACAAAATATTTTCAAAGATGCTAATGGCTTTCCATAATTGTTAAGTCCAGCTTAGAGTTAAGTTTGACTTAGGATCTCTGTGAAACACCCCCTGGCCTATACAGAAGATGACCCCTTACCCTGAGATGCTACGGTGCAGTTGAGAGCATATCCCGGAACAAGGATGGTCTCTTTAGAGCTCTTGCCATGAGCCTTGAGGAGGTTGATAGCCTTGATGGGGCACTTGGTGGCTCCCTTAGCGTCTGTGGTCTTCACAGCCTGAGCGGCATCATAGATCATCTCAGACCAGAACTCAGGATCCCTGATTTCACAAATAGAACAAAACAGGAGGTATTAATAATACACAATACTAAATTTGTTGTTAACAAAGTGGCCTGTGTGAAACAAGACACCACATTTTGCATGTCTAATGCTTTCTGGGTAGGGTCTACACACCAAACTAAACTGTTTCTCTTTTTTGTAACAGCTACTTGATTAATGTTTTACAAGTGACTTAATCAAATTTAAAAAATCAAGCAATGGTCTTGTAATTAAGAAAATATTGTGTCTACATCTTGATGCAAATATGGGAAACTAAGTATAAAGCTATAGATGTATTTTACTCTAAGATTCTGATGAAACAGATTTCATGTCCACTTCATTCTCACTATCAGATTGTATCGTCTGTGAGGAACCAGGAGGAAATTTAAGTCTAAAGCCCCCAAGCTCTCAAAAGACAACATGTCCCTGCTGACAAAATGAAAGAATGCAGGGTGCTTGTAATCAAATTTAAATTGAGAATAAGAAATAAACAAAGTCTTACACTGATGCTTCGGTCAATAGAGTGAATATTATACATTAAAACTGAAACGTACGATTTCTAAGAAATTAGGAAATTCAAGATCTTTTCCATACCTTCCAATAAGTTTTGATGACATAGACGTCTTAGCTGCATTGATAATGCTCTCTTTCACTAAATCATCTGTACTGATCGTTAAATGCTCTTGGATGTAACGGCAGGCTTCCCTGTAAACAAACAAAAAAGAAACATAAGAGATTAATAATATTAGTATGTATGTTCAAGGATTATTCATCAAACATGACACAAAGATGAAAGTACATATGTGATTTAAATGTTATTATATCTTTTGTCATGAATTTGGTTCAAAAGCCTGAGAAAACACCATTTGCTCCGAAAGATGGAATCTGAAACCGTTAAAAGAATGCAAAGCAGCAAAGGCCAAATTAACAGTGAAACAAACTAATGTATACAAAGAGGTGTGGGGGAAATAGTGAAAATACAGCTGTACTAGAGGATCAATGGAGAACTTTGCCTAACGACAAGTACCATGACATACTGTAACACGTTTGGTGACTTACTTGCATGCTAATCTGTATCCACTGATGATGGTTGTGGGGTGAATCTTCTGTTTGACAAGCTCATCAGCATTCTTTAGCAGTTCAGCAGCAATGATGACCTGTTATGGGGTGGATAGATACAGATAAACTCATGACAACAGGAACATTATCCACCTTCGGAGAGCATCAATGATAAAGTTTCTTCTGTACCATTGGTAGATACTTCTTACTCTAAAAGTTCATACGTGGTAGTATAAGCTTACACATTTCGGATATTCTTTTCTCTGAAATGATGCGATTTCAAAAGTCAAAGTTCAAATTTGAATATTTGAATACCTAAATCAATATGGTCTACATGATTGAAATACAAATGTATGGTCATGCATAAATCACAGGGGTGTATTAAGGAGAAAAAAAATAAAAAAATTTGCAGGTTAGAAACATGCAATTCGTCATGTTCTTGTCAGTAGTAGTAGTACCCTTGCAAGTGAGAATTAGCCCTTGTTATTGATTTTGTTATGAAATCCCCTTCACTTGGTGTTAACAGCACTTTTGCCGAGAACCACAACGATACTTACCACTGATGTTGTTCCATCTCCAACCTCTTGGTCCTGAAGATCAGCGAGCTCTACCAGGATCTTAGCAGCTGGATGTTCCACTTCTAGAAGTTTGAGGATTGTTGCACCATCGTTTGTTACTGTCACATCCTGGTCAGACAAGACACAAAAAGGTAATTATTCATGCTGGGAAGGGAGAGACATCATCATGGTTAACTACAATCATCGACCGTCTATGGTTATTTATTAAGTTACAAAGGTACTTCCAAACTTATTTCATTCTGCATCTGTCACATGCACTATTTCCACTGTTATTAATCATGGCTATTTGGAAACTACTGATTTGGCAATATTTCCCAGTGCATGACGAAGGGATTGAGATAGAAAACATATTTTCAGAATTGAATTTTGAGAACGACAAAGGCATTGGGTGAATGGTTAGTGTGATTTGCTACAATGTTCTAAAGTAAATATTGGAGTGTTTGGATTGATCATGTCCAACCTTTTTTTTTTGCTTCCCTACTGTAGAACAGAAAACTAGAGCAGCATGACACTTCCTGAATTGTAAACGACAGTGATTTTCAGAATATGAAATTATTGCAAAAAAACAAAACTTAGTGTTTTTTCACTTTGTGAGCCAATCAGTCTGCAGCATGAATCATTTGCAAATCTATCTCAACCACTTCCAAAATTTGCAGACGTTTCATTAATGCGAAAGTTTGTGGTTTCGCCCTAACAAGTAGGCACACAGATTTACCGCTATGAGTTTTTTTTTTTAAAGACCTCACTCCCCCCACCCCATGTAATTTTAAGAGAATTACTTGCCCAAGCAACTTACCCCAACATCATCGACCAACATTTTGTCCAGTCCTACAGGACCCAGTGAGCTCTTCACAATGTTGGCTATTGCAGCAGCAGCCATTACTGAAAGCGAGAGAGAGAGAGAGAAAAGAATTAATTGTACAGCCAAATACATATTTAAAAAAGACTACATAATTGGAAGCTCTTCCATTAAGTGATGGTCAGGTACAGTAAGCGAGAACCAAAGAGAACAGATGTGAATTTAAATCCTCTACCTGCTGTGTTTCGAGAAGAGAAATTAATTTTGATGTTACCTTGCATTCCATTAATGTCCAGGACCAACTTAAACTTAAAGTTACTTACAACATACCTCAATCACTCAATTTTATCCTGATCCTCGAAGCAGGATATGTTGAGGAATGAATAAAATAAAGTCTTACTTTTAAGAGTTAAGAATAATGTTAATGTTAAACTCAAAATGTAAATATGTTCAGGATGTTATTGTTAGCAGTAGGGGCGCTGGTCAGAGAATGAGGATCATCCGTATAAATATCCTCGTAAACGCAGACAAATATCATCCTAAAAAATAAGAATCGTCCGCAGTTTACCATCTACTTTTATATGGGTTGTCCGTCTTCCTGAGGATTTATCGTTCATAATGTGAAATTCTCTGTGAAAAGTGAATGTTAAATGCATCAAAGACTGAGGAGCATCATCGCGGAATCCATTTTTGGCATCGCCAAAACACGGATCGTAAATAGGAATCGTCTGCAAAAATGTGTACAATCCTTATTTTTTAGGATGCATCTGTCCGTGTTTACGGAGACGAACCTCGTTTGAGCGGAACGATCCTTATTCTCGGACCACAACACTACTGGTCATTGTTTATTTGTTACACACTCTCGTGACACGACTCTCTTGAAGTTTGAACATTCTTTTTATCTTAATCTTATTTTTTTCATTCCTCCATCTCCTGCTTCGAGGATCAGGACAATTACAAAGACCAGTAACAGAATAGATTATTCTGTTTATCATGTTTATCTGTCGTTTCTTACTTGTTGCCCATGAGGTATGTCCTGCAAAACAAGTTGCCAATCACATTCACTAAATCATCTGTCAATTGGCATTCGCTCGATACTGGCATTGCATTGCATTGGCACACGCATTACATTATTCCATTCGGTCTCTCATTTCATTTTCAATTCTCAATCTCATGTCTCTCGACTCTCGATTCGTCGTAACTTCAACTCACCATTTTGTGTCCTCACTGTATCTCCAGACGTCCTCTCCCCACTAACAGTTAAATTTCTAAGGGTAGACATTATTGTATCGTTATGAACATGAAATATACGATAAATTAGTTATTTCGAGCGATCCAGTGCCCGTTTCTATGCAAAATTTACACGTTAACGATGCCAATGCAGATTGTGTACAATTACTCATAGACGAAAAACACAAGCGTGCATGCTCCTGTACACATATGAGCGCTGAGGGCGTTTACATGCTATCAGTGAATGTGATATATAAGACATATTCGTTGTTGTAAAAGCGTAGTAGACATTGACATCAGCCAAACAGTAGCTTTATTTCATTGCTAGTGGTTTATTAGATCTTTAGACTACGAAAGTAAGAAGAAATTTAATATTATTTATAATCAAGTAAAAACGTAATTCTGTTTCACTTAACAATCAATCCAAAGCCCAAAACTCTGCAAGAGTCAAGATAGTTTTGCGCCTGGGTTATACCACATAATATATATCACGGATTAGCTATCGTTGTAAACTAATGTCTTTGCAGAATCACTAGAACTTTCTACAGCTTCACAGGCGGAGTCAAGCATGAATCATAATACAGCATACCATCATCAGGAAGTATGAAGGAGTTTTCATCAGAGTAATTTTGACCCATTTACCAGTTTAATGTTGTGAAGAGCAAGGAAGTCAATTGAGGGTATTTTTTAATTCCAATTATTCGTGGTTAATTTATAACAATTTAGAAAAATGAAATTCCTAAAATACAGACCTATAGGAATAGTTAATTCAATTCAATTCAGAACTATATTTCAGACTCAGCTGCACAAGGCAGAGGTCCATAAAACATAATGCTACACAGTTAGTTTCTTTGAAGTAGAAAGAGAGTAGTGCCTTAATTGACAAAGGGCATTTGTAATAAACAAATTTGGACAATATTTGATTTGATTTAAAAAGGGGTTTTTACGGCCTAGGCCTATATTGATTAAAAAGCATACAATCATTCGAAATAGCAGTCAAACAAATTGAATTTACAAAAGATTAAGAATTACATGAAAAAACAATACATTGAAATTGGTAAAATAAAATACACTGATATGCAAAATAGTATACAAATACAATGATAGCTATTAATTGACATAAGATGATAAATACAATTTGTCGATAAACATTGCAATTTATGAGTTATATAATTCATCCAGAGTTTGCTATGAATACTGGCGAAAACATGTCTGACCCCCCCCCCCCCCCCCCCGACTCCGGGGTCGGGGACAGAATGCGTGTTCCCAAAATGTCCGGTAAAGGGGTACTTTTCACGCACCTAAGTACACAAAAATCCAGCCCGTAAAGCATACGCGTACCCTAAATAACACTGAGTCGGGGGGGGGGGGGGGGGTGTCCGACCTCTGGCTGTATATGCATGAATAAAAGCACACAGTACCAGAAATCAGATGTGTATTGACAGAGTGCATCAATAATCCATGGGTAAATATGTGAGTAGCTTCCCGAAGTGAGCAGTAGTAAAAACTTTCCTCCCATTTTATAACGGTAAAAAATTCATGAAATAAATGCAAATACCTAACTTAATGATAAAATTTAGAATAAAATATTTATTTAGATTTCAATTAAAAATATCATTTAGTATTGACGGAGACAGGCCATGCAGATCGGGGACTATAAGGCAAAACCAAACCAAACGCATTACGCACGTTCATGTATAAATACAGGGGCGGATCTAGGGGGGGGGGGTTCGGTGGTTTAACCCCCCCCCCCCCCCCCGCGGCCAAGTGAAAAAGAAGAAAAAAGTAAAACAGTAAAACGGCGCGATTTTTGGATTTTTTTAAAAGTCAACCCCCCCCCCCCCCCCCCGCGGCAAAAAGCTAGATCCGCCCCTGATATATTTATATTCAGCACGACCTGATACGAACTTTTATATCAATTGAATTAAACTTTTTCTAATATATTCCAATATTTTTTTTGCATGTAAGAGCAAAGTTAGGTATATACAGAAGTTCACCCGACCTTTTCAAATCTTGTCCTTTGTATTTACGGCGGCGTAGAAATGGGAGAAATCCCTCCCCGCCATCGAGTGGTGAAAAAATAAAAAAATAAGAATACATCGGAGAAAAGATAGAAAAAGGAAGGGAAGTGGGGCGGAAAGGGCGAGACAAGAAGACACCTGGAGCCTCCAACTCCCTGTCAATATATAGGCTTGTAAATTCGCATTTCGTTTTCCAAAAACGAACTATTCCTCCACCCCCCCCCTTCCCTCAATTGCTCAAGTGCCCCTGCCCCAGGATTTCTCAGGGGAGGGGGCCCAATTTATTTTATTTTTGCTCCCGAAAGTTTGAAAATCGCGCCGGCCGAAAAGTCGCTGAGTGGGGGGGGGGGGGGGGGGGAGGGGGGAGGGGGAGGGGGGAGGGGGGAGGGGGAGGGGGAGGGGGGGGGGGGTAGTGAGCACATTTTTAAAACAATTTGCACCCCCAAAAGGTAAAAATCACTTCTTTTTATATGATTTTTTTTTCTTAAGGGGGGGGGGCCGGCCCCCCCCCCCTGGATCCGCCACTGCACTGCCCTACTCGTGGCGCCACTGACTGAATTTGTTCCTAAATTATTCGTATCCAGCTGATATAAAAGAATAGTTCTGTAAAATTTCATCAGAGATTCTGAAGAAAAGAACATAACAAAATGTTAGAATAGGACTAACCCCGTGGGCCCAACCTTCAACTTCTGAAAGATATGAATAAAAGGTCGAAAGCAATTAAAAGAACGATTCCCTATTGTAGTTGAGAGTCATAACTGACCTTGTTTATTCAAACGTGTCCATAATATCCCTTGATATGGGGCCTATTTGTATAGCTCGTATCTCGTCACAGTGTGTAAGGGACATGAACAGATATCTATATGATCAGGGGCGTACGCAGGATTTTTTCAAGGGGGGGGGGGGTTTAAAATATTTTGCTCCCGAAAATTTGAAAATCGCGCCGGCCGAAAAGTCGCTCAGTGGGGGGGGGGGGGGGGGGGGGGGGGGGGGGGGGGGGGGGTAAGCGGACACTTTTTTTTTTTTTTTTTGGAGGCCAAAAAAAATCGCAACGACTCAGCCGGCAGAAAAGTCGCTCAGTGGGGGGGGGGGGGGGGGGGGGGGGGGGGGGCGGTAAGCGGACACTTTTTTTTTTTTTGGTCTCAAAATTTCAAAATTTGACATTTTTTTACGTATGGGGGGGGGGGTAAGGTCACCTTATTTAGGTTAGCCGTGGGTATAATTTTTTTTTTTTTTTTAATAAAAAAAAAAAAAAAAAAAAAGCCAAAGGGGGTGGGGGGGTTTTAGGTTTTTTTAGGGGGGTTTACATACATTAAAATACCAAAGGGGGGGGGGGTTTGAACCCCCAAAACACCCCCCTGCGTACGCCCCTGTATATGATACTAATTCCAGAGTAATATAAATGAATGAAAGCAAATTTACGTTTTTCCTTTTGAAATTAATTTTGATAGAGCCCACGCATACCGACCTTGTGTATTCAAACCATGCCTGTATTTGCTCATTCAAAGCAATGATCCGTGTCTGGGTGTTATGAGACTTACCTCTGTAAAATCTCATCAGTTATTATTATATAAACAGGACGGGAGCAAACATTGAACATCTAGGACAAGATCAATCATCACAGATGTCATCCAAATAAAATATTTATTCTTTTTGGAATTAATTAATTGCATTCTCGGCGTCGTGAATGTGTTGAACATAGACTGTTTGAGGAAGATCCTATAAATAATCGTCTCGCCGCCATCATTTTACCCTGTCTATCTGCGGATCTGAGCTGAAAGGTTTCAAAATGTCCGATTTGTTAACATTGGTTTTCCTCGCGCTCTTAATTGCTGGCAGTAGTGCAGCACATTCGACAGACCCAAAGGATTATTGCTCCCCGTACAAATTCACGGTCACACAAGGTTAGCTAAATACATTTTTTTCGTCATACAATCGTATTTTCTTCTTATATTAATTGCATTTTGATTGCAAAGAATACAAATTATGCTGATTCTAATAACTTTCTCACATGCTTATTACATAGACATACTTTCCTTACGTTTAGCTTGATATACATTGACTTAAACAATTAATTTGTATATTTGATATGACAAACCTATAATATTTCTTAATGGCCTGAATTCACAAAGGAGGTTTGTCGACAGACCTCCAATGTGAATTCGGGCCAATGTGTCTAGATAAACTCAATTTTGTATAAGATAGCGATTACCTCAAGTTATTCAATGTTGAATTCTTTCAAATACCGATCACGATTGGATGGGGCGGACACGATCAATTCGTTTCTTCTATTTAGGTATTTTACTTTTCTTCGGACATGTTGGATGAGAATAACCATCATACGCATCGGTACAATGACATTACCCATTTTGTTGTTGTTGAAAATATAAATTTCGAATTGCTCTCATCCTATCAGTTGGTATCGAAGCGACCCTAAAAGATGGGATCGCTCTTGGAGGGAGGCATCGTATCTTCTCTGTCCAGGACTATCTTAATCAGAGATTCTACTTCAACTACACACTAACAACCGTTAATGCAAATGCCCGTGTAATTCGGACCGTCGCGTATGAGTTGATCATCGACCAACCTACAGTAGGTGTTTGGAGAAGACTTTTTTCTTTCTTTTTCCCCTTTATATTTAAGTATCATTTTGTTGTTTATGAAGGTTTCCCATGTCTGCTCATATTTCTTCCTCAGGTAACTTTTATTTTGTATGGCAAGGCAATAAAGATGAACCATGTGTGACCAAATTTTTCATCTGATTGTACTTTACTTAACTAATCATACAGCATACTTTTGTTTTATTCCATTGTAAGCAAGGTTTTAATTGACTGGTTGGATCAAGCATGACTAATAAAAACCAATCACCACTAACCGGTGACTTTATGGGTGCAGGCATGAATCCTCCAAAATAATGTTCCATATGGATCTAGGACAACCACCCCCGGATAACCTCCCTTAAGATAACCACCCCAGTAGGACAACTACCCCCATACAACTACCCCCTACACTCTTAAAAATACGTGGTCAAAAAATGACCACGTCGATCGTGGTCGTTTTTAAAGGTGCATAGTTGACTACCAAAACGTGGTTAAAAATGACCACGACGTGGTCATTTTATGACCACGTGTATGACCCCTCCAGGACAACTACCCCCGAACAACTACCTCCAGACAATAGGAAAACCACCCTCTAGGACAACTCCCCCGGATAACTACCCCCGGACAACTATACCCTTAGACAACTACCCCCTACGACAACCACCCTCTACGACAACTTCCCCCGGTCAACTATCCTAGGGGTAGTTGTCTGGGGGTATAGTTGTCCGGGGGTAGTTGTCCGGGGGTAGTTGTCCTAGAGGGTGGTTTCCCTAGGGGTAGTTGGCTGGGGGGGGGGGGGGTAGTTGTCCAGGGGTAGTTGTCCTAGGGGGTAACTGACCTAGAGGGTGGGTATCCTAGGGGGATTATTGGGGGGGGGGGCAGTGGTTGACCAGGGGGTATGGGTGTGCGGATACGGTTCCAAATATTGCACAATTCCGAACTTGTATTTCACAAAATCACCCCAGATATTATCACGAAACTACTTGGCTAGCACAAGCGAGATTTTGGATTGTTCTCCGAGTAGAATGCAGAGATATATTTAGATGTATGAAGGTTCTCCAAGTGAGATGAAGGAGGTCAGTAATTGAGAAGTGAAGAGATGGCGTTTTCAAATTAACATGTTAACTCGGTGAGAAAACTTTGAGAAGTGTGTTGGAACACAGAAGTGAGGATGAAAAGAAGATGTTGTTGCATTGACGACTTTCGTCAATGCCTTGTTTTCGTTCGCGAAGTTATCACCCAAAATGATGAATTTACTCTGCGTTACATAACAATGCGTTTCAGGCTTGCAGTTAATTTCGCGCAGATGACAATGGTGCAGTGGCGGATCCAGGGGGGGGGGGGCGGCCCGGCCCCCTTGGGAAAAAAAAACGTGTACAAACACGTTAATTTTACCTTTTTTAGGAGATGGCCCCCACCCTGGCGCTCAAGAGGGGGGGGGGGGGGTGCGATTTTTTAAATTTTCGAGTTCCAAAAAAAAATTAATTAGTGCTTACTACCCCCCCCCCCCCATTAGAATACATAATTTAAATTAAAGTAAAATACAAAGAAGAAATAAGTAGAGAATACAATCATCACAATAGACATCTGACAATATGTCATAAATCATTTAAGCTAAGCTAACCCGTATTTGCATCTGACGGCGAGTTTCGCTTGGTTATTTGGTACTAGATGATACACGTGGAAAAAATTGTTTGCAATTTGATGAGTTAAATAAAAGTTTGCATAATGTCAAATGATTACTTTCTGTTTTCTAGGACCCTCGGGCAGGCCCGACCCCCCTGACAAAAACCACGTAAAAAAAGTAAATTATACCTTTATTAATCAAAAAATGAAAATGGGCCTTTAGGGCCTTTCATTTTTTGTTTAAATGAGGTAACATTTGCGTTTTTTAACGTTTTTTGCCAGGGGGGAGAGGCCAGGGCCCGTCACCCCCCCCCCCGTGGATCCGCGCCTGGAGTGTGGTGTACATATTCATTAAGATGACCGCTTTTTAATAAATAGCATAGGAGTGGTAGTGAATTGTATCAGATGGCAAATAATAAGTAATAAGTGAAATTGAAAAAATGAAGAAGGATACGACGAGGAAAATACTACATTTAGAATGATCTAATTTCTTTCTTCAACAGAATGCACGATACGAGATAAGAAATGGAGTTTGCAAGCACACGACCATCCCAGACGCCGTTTCTTCGCATCTGACAAGATGTTTGAGTGGTTAGTTTAATAAATAATTTCATTCATTAGTATTTTCATCAGTGGTTGAACAAGGCTTGTCAGTAAAAGAGAGTTGTTCCGAAAAGACTTCAACCCCCTGCCGAATAATAATCATTTTGATAATCCCACCAGCTTTCCTATACGGAGCAATATTATCTCAGACATAATTTTCACCGGAAACACGACTCCTCTAAATCTACTTAGAAGGGGGAGATAATTAGGAATATCTGGGGAATGGGGATGGAGGGGTGGGTATCTGCTACTCGTTGGTGTGTGTGTGTGTGTGTGTGTGTGTGTGTGTGCGGGGGGGGGGGGTAGCTTCCTGAACCCGTCGACATTGACTCTCTCTGATTTTCCTTTGCCTATAGATAAAATGAAACACCAAGGTTCGTCGTTCATCGGCGGGTTCAAATCATCGGACAAAGCTCTCCGCTTTGAAACCTTTAGCATGAACCTCGAGATGGCCGACGACAGCCACGGTAACACCGGTGGTATTGGTGGTCTGACCGGACATCTATGGTCGACCTATGTTGCGAACCCGGACGATCCTGGGACTTATCTTCAAGTCAAAGAAGAGATGATTGGAACGGTAAATGTTCCGTCTGTGACATCGGACACGTCGAGTACTGGTAAGGCCCCCCCAAAAAAAAACTTTTGGTTGTCACCGCCCGCTCGTATTTATTTATTTATTTATTTATTCTATTTTTTTTTTTGGGGGGGGGGGGGAGCAATCTTAAATGCCAAACATACCATTTTATGCATATGCAAGGATCAAAATGCCTCCCGTTGCCAGTTTGGTCTTTTCGCAATTAGTTATTTATTAAACTTGCCATTTTTATTTTTCTATGTCAAAATGCCGTTCATTCAAATCAGGTTCTGAGCATTCTTAAACTCATTTAAACGCCCATATGTACTAGTTTACAGGAGGCATTAGAACACCCTGCAAGGTCACTGGACAGGTGGTTATCTCATCAAATCAGCTTTCAGTTAATATAAGATAAAAAGGATAATGGGGGACCAATGGTCACCGATTAGGCATTGTTTGCTACATAGCGGGCGCAAGTAGCTATAAGTAGTACAATGGAGATTTAAAAGGTGCTTTATTTCAAAGCCCAAAATACTTTCTGTGTTGGTCTTGATATTAAACTTAGTCTTTTAACATATTAAAGTGTTTATAGACTTTGTTTAAATGCTTGACAATCCCAATGATTTTCTTGTTGTGGAAAAAAAATTATTATAACATTTTTTTTAAATGGGGGAAAAAAAAAGAAAAAAAAAAGAGAAATAAAAAAAAGACACACAAAAAATGAATTAAAAATAATAATAAAAATAAAATTAAAAATCCGCCCGCCCGCCCCTACTCCAGAATAGCAATCAAGGACAACCAAACAATCTTTTTTTTTTGGCCTTAGTTTGATGAACACAAACAAAGAAAGATGGGTTGCGTCCGTCGACAATCAGATCAGCTGAGCGGCCCAGGCCCTTTGTTCATACCTTGACGTCACTGAAAAATCAGCCTGCACTACGATTTTTTTTTTCTCGGGGTCTTGAGTGGGTTGATTTTTCGTCAATTTTAATCAACTTTTATAATTTTCGCTCGGATTTACAAGCTAAAGAGATGTGATATTCTTACGATTGCAATAATTCAGTCAAGTTCAAAATCTATGAACCTTCTCTTTAAGGTGAAGATAACATAAACAAGAGCGATAATAATTGCTCTCCCTTCTCATACATGTCCCTTCCCCGATGCCAGGGTGCACACTACGCCTCTGAAACCGAAGAAAATATAGGGTAATACATTATTATTAAACCAAATTTGTGTAAAATTTACTGATTTTTCATTGAACCTCTGTGTATCCCTCTTAACTCATTTTACCATACATTCATTTTCCATGACAGTTTCATCCATGTTCAGTTCTGACTTCGTAGACTACCAGGACGAGGTCGATGAAGCATGGTTTCAAGTTCCTGAAAACTGTCGTCAGGTAATTTTGTATTGTTTATTTTGTTGGGGGGGGGGGGGGCAGAGTGCTCTCCATTGGTATTTTTTGCCCTCCGATATCATGGTTTTAATTTTGTAATTTTGTTGCATTGGTATAATGATATTCAATGGTAAAATGAAAACAATAACATTTCCCATTGATGTGACGAAGATGGGCCGTGAGAATGCGGGAACGCCCCCATTGTATCAATATTCTTTTGATCCTCATCTAAAATCAGCCCTGGTCAAGGCAAGCATTACAAGAGGGGAGAACAGAAAAGAGAGAGAGTGAAACGTTTTTGATATGACAGGGGTATCCTCCTAGGGGTGATGGGGTCGTCTAGTACTAATATTAGGGCAGCTTGGCGTTGGTGGTCCATTGCAATATGAACAAGGGAGGGGGGCACGCATTCTGGATACGCCCCTGAGGATACATCCAGTTTTTGATTGTTAAGTTTTATTCTTGATTTTAATTTAATGTTATTTCATTTATAGGTTCTAGGACAATTACCCCCTGGGCAATCAGCCCCTGCCAATTACCAGCGGGACAATTACCCCCCACCCCTGAATATTACGGATATTACGCCCCCCCCCCCCCGAGAACAAATACCCCCGGAAAATTACTTACTATGACACTTACCCCCCCCCCGAAAAATACTTTTGATTAAAACCAACTTATTATCAGAGTGGACTTCCCCTTTACAGGGGGTAATTTTCGGGGGGGGGGGTAGGGGTATTTATCCTCGGGGTGGCTGTTCTCGGTTGTCCGGGGGGGGGGGGGTGTCCTAGTGGGTTATTTTCAGGGGTGGCGGTAATTTTCCGGGGAGTAATTGTCCTTGGGGATAGTTTTCCGGGGTGATTGGCCTGGGAGTGTACTGATACGTTATTCGTAATATGTTAAATACATGAAAATGAAATAGAAATGAATAATGTTTTTTTTTCCTTTCCACAGCTTGCTGGTGGCAAGCGCAAGAGACGATCTCCTCGCGCTCCGATCTCTTCCGAACATTTCCGACTGGCTCACTATGCAGCCGCCATGTTTGCCCACGAACCCTAAGATCGCTTAATGCCTCAAGATGAAGGGGGAGAAAGAGAACTTACGATCGAGTAGAAACACTTTCATCAATTTAATATGTTTTATCTTTCAACTTATACATGTGTATTAGGAAATACATCCAATGAATTATCTGTATGGATTTATTTACCATTATAAAAGTAGTTGTGTAGGTCATAGTCAGTATTGACGCTTTCTAATCAGAATGATACAACATTATTCATGTTTTAAGAATACTGACATCATTTTTGTAAATTGTGACCCTGTTTAGGTAATTCAAAAGAAGAAGGGTCGACTTGATTGGTGTCATTTTTTATTAGCAGTTTCTTGTTTATTTCAAGAACGCGATTTCTTTAACATCGGGTGAATCGGTATAAAACCCATTATAAAAATTACCAAATAATCATTTTGTACATAGTATGGGAAAGACCCATTCTTATCAATTTTTTATATCTTATTTGGCACTCAGTGCAGTTATTTAGTTATGAACTCTATATTTTCCTCTGTTGCAGATCATTAACTTTTCCTAGTGATCAAAGGGGGGTACGTGACCCCCCCCCCGCGGCACGTATTTGCTTTAATACTTTTACACACATTTAATTTGAGATGTGTGACATCCACCGACCCCCCCCCTAAAAAAAAGAACATTTCCTTGTAAGAATTGTAGAAATTAGAATATTCCAGAGAAATTTGATTTGCGGATATGCCTATTTGTTTAAAATGTCAACTATTCTGGACGGTGCCCCTCCCTGGGCACACTGCATGTATCATCCACTATTGCCTTCAGTAATTTCCTAACAATGCTAATGCATACATTGTTATAAAACCCTCTGTATACTTGTAGCTACTTGATCCTCTTTATAGAAAACAATTTCTAAGCGGTGCCCGTTGGTCCCCCATGATCCTCTTTTCTTATGAATATTGAGAGCTGAGTTGATGAGATAGCCACCTGTCAGTGACCTCGCTGGATGGTCTAATCCCTCCTGGCCAAACTAGTTCAGACGGGCTTTAAAGACATTCGATTGTGCGCCACTATATGGAAAAATTAGAAAGGTGGGAAAAACTGTACAAATAATCCCCACACAAAATAATACTGGAGCTAATGTTGCTAATGTTGCGCTATAAGCAACACAAAAGTCACACAAATTATACCCCCCCCCCCCCTTGGCATGAACAAATACATCAAACATATATATCGCTAGCGGAGAGGTCTGCAAAAAGAGAAAAGCCATGATTGTTAAATATAACCCGCACCTCAAAATGTTTTATATCGTTATATTCTAGATTGATATTGATACTCATTTTGTGTACATTGATCTATATATAGATTTAATGTGTACTATGATTTAAATACTAGATTAAAATCATTTTATGGTTTTCCTTCAATGTTTTACTATTGTACATCTATACGCTCTACATGTAATGCATTTTCTTTCTTTTTAAATTTATTTAGCTAATCATTACAAATGGTACTTGAAATAACGGAATGCAAATAAAAGATTTTTTGATTCCATATCTACAAGTGCGTAGCCTAGATCATTAAAAAAAATAAGGCCAATATAATGATGAATAAAACATAATGTATAGAAACCTGTTTAAAAGTCGGAAGAGCTAGAGAGAGAGAGAGAGAGAGAGAGAGAGAGAGAGAGAGAGAGAGAGGCAGAAAAAGAGAGAGAGAGAGAGAGAGGGAGAGAGAGAACGAGAGAGAGAGAGAGAGAGGGAGAGAGAGAGACAGAGAGAGACATAGAGAGAGAGATAGAGAGAGGGAGAGAGAGAGGGAGAGAGAGAGAGAGAGAGGGAGAGAGAAAGAAAGAGAGAGAGAGAGAGAGAGAAATAAAAAACAAAAAGGGCGGACAGAGGACCATAGTACCTCCCCCCCCCCCCCCCTTACCCACAATCCGTCGCCCAGTGAGTGCCGAATGGAAAATGGGGCATTATTTTTTCTAAGCTGTGATACGTGGGAAGGGGGGGGGGGAGGGGGGGGGGGCAGAAGAGACCGATTTTTAAAAGGTTAAAGTGATTTCAAGTATAGGCCCACTGCAGTATACATACATTATTGTTTGTGTGTAGGGGGGCATGTGGGTGTCTCTCTTTCTCTTTCTCTCTCTCTCTCTCTCTCTCTCTCTCTCTCTCTCTTTGACGCATGTGCCCCATTTTGCTAATTTCGAGGAATTTTTGTATGATTATCTTTTCCATGCAGGAGATTTCGAAGGCTCAATATGTTAATTTTATTAATTAATTTAGTTATCATTTTCGATCTTCTAGGCACAAACAAGAGCCTCTCACCTTGTCTTTCACCCCTTTTAAATGAATCCTATTTCTGCCTACTGAAAAGCGACTTGAATCTCTTTCTTCTCATTTCTATAACTGTTGTTGTAGCTCAGTAGTTGGCTAGTGTTTGGGACAGGTTACAACTAGGTTTTAGGTTAGGTTTGGGTTAATGCAATAAAGTTAGGGAAGCAATAATTATTATCATGATTATTGTCGCGTTCTACCCCTATCTCGATCTCGATAATTTTTTTAATGACTTTGCTCTAGCGCCATCTAGGATGAAATACGGTACACGCTACAGTTTTTCTCATACGTTTCGTGTTTAAGCATTTCCATTTATTTTTGCATGCATATCGTACGTATAAATTTGCATCAACAATCGGAGACGACGCGCTCATTTCAGGTACCGGATAACGTCAAATTATGATTGAAAACGTGTAGACTATGAGCTTAAAGTACCTAATCTGCCCAGCATCATTCCTGCAACTAGCTGCCTAATGCCAAGAGAAAAAAAGACTACTAAAAGACTCCGCAGTAAGTACCTCTACTATGAGAAAAAGTACTTTGAAAAATACCTTGCAAGTTCAATGGTGCATTGCATTTACTGCGGCCTGTTGCGCGGCACGGCCCGTAGTGTATCGCTATGCGTCCGCTCTCGCAGCCCTAGCGGCTGGGGCTGGATGCAGAGAGCTGAGCTGAGTGCAGTGTGATGTGATCAGTGATGTGACTGTGTTTAGGATTGGCCTGGCCGCTGCATGAAGTTATATGAATTATGATATTGATATCACCTAGCCTTAATTGGCACCAATTCCAATATACATCTACATGAAGAGTGATGACTGATGTAAACAAAACCTAAAAAGTAATGCGCGCATATGCATTCGCGTTTGTTATCATTCTTGCACTCAACGAACCTTGCATGCATTGCATTTGCAAATCACCTTCGCTGTTTGCCAAAGACTAAAGTAGTTCGTAATGCAATGGCAATGCTTGTGCAGTAGTAGTGGACTCTTCTTTATAGTCTCTACTCGTATTGCTATGAAAGGGGAATTAACCTCAAAGCTAGTACATGTTAATTCCAGTTGGTAGATCTAGGCCATTTAAAACATCTAAAAAATAATCTATTTGACGCAAGGGAGGACGTAGATGATATAACTCTTCATAATCCTTCGTCTTTCGACTGTCAAATGATCTCTGCAGCCTGCAGATCACATTGACATTGTCATTAAATATTACTGTCATCGTAACAATTTAACTTTTATTATTTGTTTTAACTTGACAATGTAACTTTTTAACTTGTAACATTTTAACTTAAAACTTGTAGATGTAATGACTGTTACTTTGTTACATACTGAAGTTAACTGTCTCTAACTTCTTTTTATTTATTAACATATTATGCAGTCATTTTGCCTTCAGTGGATTCTCATTATTTATTAAAACTCTCATGCCCAGATTGTCTATAGACGTTCTATTCAGACCTTTATCCAATTGTGCGCCCTCGCCCTGTTCTGACATAAACAATTTGGTCACAATACTTCTGTAACATTTATTGATTTTCTAATTTCACCCAATTAGATCTATAGGCAACATTTTTATTTTAGTTTCACTGTAGATTTTACTAAATATTAACACGACACAGGCATAATTGCATGTCTCTATGCCCGCTACTAAACAGAATACAGAAGGAGTGGAAATGGTGCGCTGGATTCATAATTTTGAGATTTTACAAGGTGCCATTTAATATGTTTCAATATTCCAATGCTTTACAATTTTATTTGATAATAATCCATGCTGTTTTTTATATTCTATCTGTCCATACAAAATTAGCTGCATCAACAGACAGTGAGCGCGAGAACACTGACAGCAGTAAGGGGTCGTCTACAAGCCAGCCACCAAGTCCGACGAAGAAACGCAAGAAACCTCCCGGCTTAAAGGTAACCTTTATTTTGAATTTGCTATTCTGTTCCTGTTTCTGTTGCTGCCAAGATGGTTTAGCAAGGGTCGGAGGGCAAAAATAAGGAAAACATGAGCAAAAATGAGAAAAGTAGAGAGATGGGCATTTTATCCTCCTTTGGCTTCTGTGTTCCGACTGGACAATGTGGTCCGTTCCTTAACCTGATGATATTAAAGATGTGCAGTACAAATTAACATTTCATGGTCTGATGGATGTGTATAATGTAGGTCAATAACTGATAGCAGCATTTTTTATTAATGTTAATGCACATTAATAGTATTGTTTAACTTCCTTTTTTTTCCAGGGGCCCGGGAGTGGTTCTGCTGGAGGCAATCTGGCTCCCCCACCTACCCCTAGTGGTGACAACATCATAGCCTCCAACCCATTTGAGGACGACCCCAGCGGGGCGACAGCAACCGCTCGGGGTCTCAACTTACTAACACGCCGTCTCGGCCGCACGGCGGCCATGAACAATCAGTTTGGGCCTTACGGCAACTCATTTCATCACCAACATGGCATACCACCGGGTGGAGGGCCGTACCCCAACAACATGGCCAACAGTCACAACTCCAACGGCCCTATGCCTCCTATGATGTACAGTAATCCTCAGACTCTTTTCCCTTGTGGGATCTGCCATCAGCAGGTCCAAGATTCAGAAGACGCGGTCATCTGCGTCAGTAGCTGCCACACGTGGTTCCACCGCATCTGTACAGGTATGACAACGACAGCCTACACGTTGCTCAACTCGGAACATGCGGCCGAATGGGTTTGCGATCGATGCGTACGAGAGAAGAAGATACCTCTGGTAAGGCTCAAGACGCAACCGATCTCGTAGCTCGTCTCTTCTTTTATTTGATTATGTTTTGTATATATTGGATTATCACCGGAGGCATTGTTGATCCCAGAACGCACAGATCCTTTAATGCCTGTTGCACAAGAGGGGTCATTTTGATTTCATTATTATCTGCGCTATCAAGCAATTTACTGCAGTGGGGCATCGTTCATTTTGCAGTCATTTTTTAGATGATGTCATCTTCGCACGGTGCATCAAAGATTGTGCCAGTAGCAGTCATACCTCTGGCAAAGGATGCCTCCTGTGCAATCGGCATTATTGGTGAACACAATGTAAAATGTAATGATTATGGTTCTACTTGTTTGAATATGTTACAACTAGTATTAGTAAGGTCACCAACGTTCCTGTCGCGTAATCTGGTACATGTCATAAATTCTTTTTTTATAGAATGTTTTTTTACTGATATTTATTTTCTGTGTCTAGGTGATGAGCAAGTTTGCTCTACCATATTACATTTGATACACTTCTATTAACTAATAACATCTGTTGAGAGCCAGAAGGGCATTAACCCTTACTGTACTGGGGGGGGGGCCTGGGAGGCCCCCCCCTCGACATTTTCAGAGATTGCGCCGCAACCGCTTGGAATTTTGAATTGTCGTTTCATGACTTTTTTCCCTCAAGTCTTACGCACATTTTGATACCATTTTCGTCGAAATCGGATATACCTGTAAGGCGTTACATAACAATTAGTATGCGCATGTCATCAATAAAAAATAAAAAAAATGAAAATCGCATCAAAATTTGCATAAATTATCATTATTAATTACATTAAAATAACTTTTTTGTGTGAGAAAAGAAGTTTCATATGGATAATGAGTTTCAACATTCAAAAAGTGGAGTTTGACACGTTTTCGGTAAAATGCATAAAATTAGCGCATTTTGCATAATTAATTAGGCTAACGACAAAAATTTGCATATTCGGAAAAAACTAATTATACCATCTTGTTCCTTACGTAAATATCTACAAACATGCAAATTTTCGTGTTCATCGGACAATCGACGGCCGAGATCATAGGGGGGGCCTCCCAGGCCCCCCCCCCCCCAGTCAGTGGGTGCTCAAAATAGCCCAGTACAGTAAGGGTTAAGTGTGTTTTAAAGCCTATGAGTCAAGGTCCATTTGGCTCTGGTTCTTTCCTTTCGTTCCTAAAAGTGGCAAATTATCAAAATGTTGATTTGCTTGTGAAAGATGCATCTCTGTGATGTTTTAACAGTTTCAACAAGGAGTCGCATTGATATCTGAACATTTTGTTTCCCTTTAGAAAAAAATTACAATGAAGGTTCTGAAGTATTACCAATTCAATAATGCTGCATCTCAAAATTCTTGCAAACTACTAACAAATATAAGTCTAACACACACATACACACCACTATGGACAATACATGCATTGTATACATGTCATCAACGTATTTGATGAATCTTGCACACTGTACGGAAATAATGTTGCCTGCAAATTGCAAAGTGATGTATTAGATACTCCATGCACTAATTCACAGAGAAGTTACTCAAGGGGGTCTTTCGCTCTTGAGACCAAAAATTTAGTCTGATGATCATTTGGTCATGTTAGTGAGGGCCTTGGCTTCATGAACATTTATAAATTTGAAATGGCCCTTTTCAAACATTTTAAATAGAAAATATGCAAAGATCTTTGACATTTTGAGCACAGTTTCTGCTTTCCTGGAAGGTCCATTAATTGTTTTGTAATGTATTTTATAACCTCTTCTGTCAAGCAGTAAAAATAATTACCTTGACTAAATTATATCTTTTGCCAAATGGTTTTAGATTGTATTCTGTGGTATGTTATATGCTAATTGAGAATACTGGTAGATGTACATGTATGACACATGGATTGATTTAGATTGGACACACTTTTTCACAATACAGATTTTAATCATTAGGTCTGGCATGATGATACCCTTTGAATATTTGTTATAGACTGTAAAATCAAAATTATTCATGTACATGTAATAACTAATAAAGAATATTCCAGTTTCTGCATGTAATGTGTTAGAAGAGGAAAAAAAGATTAGGTCAGTGTTGTACTAATGATCTGAAATAATTTGAATAATGTAATTGTTATTACAAAGTAATATTTTCTTGAAATTATTTGAAAAACCCTTCTCTTTGTCTTGTTTAGTGGAAATTATAGAAAAGAAATATTTGAAATACAAATGCCAAATTTAAAATGTCTTCCCACCTGTATAGATGATTTATTGTGCACAAGTCATGTGAATGTTAATGTATAACAGTAGAGAAAGCACAGTCATATTACAGTAAGTATTTGTTCCAAAAAATAAAATTTACATTTGTCACGTACATGTACATGTTAAGATTGTTGTTAGAATTCATACATTTAATCCTGTAATTGTCATTTTTTGACATTATCTGGCAGTAAAACAGAAAAAAGGCTTCTATTTCAAGCATCTACCGGTATTTTGATTTTGTTTGTACATTTTAGAGTGCACTCTTTTGCAAAGGAACACATCATGAACATTACGTAGTACGTACCAAGTTAAGATCTTGAACCAGTATGAACCATCTTAAAGGAAAAACCCACTGTGGCAAAATAGAACGACATTTATGAGCTTAGTTCGCTTCATGTTTTTTCACATCTTATGGAAGCAAGTACATGTACATGCCTTGGGAGTTCACGCACAACTACTTTTTCCTTCACCCAAAATTTGCTCTTTATTTACATGTGAAAGGGGTTCGTATTTTGCCTTGGTTGTCCTTTAAAGTGGTTCACTGTGTCACATACATGTATGAACAAGGTTTTTTTATATTTTGATACACAAATATAATTGATAAATGTTCTATTTCACTTATTCAGTGATGTTAATGTGTTAAAGCAAGTATTGGTATCAGAAAAATAGGAATTGGGTTTAAATTACACATTATACCTTTATGATACTTTTTTCGGACCAATTGTTTTCTAGTAAACTAATGTTTGGTTTAAATCTATTAGGAATCGTGTAGTGTAATTCAATTTATCCAAGGTAGTAAAAAGTAATGTTTGGTGTAGTTATTTTGATGTTTTATATTCCCACTCAACATGGTAATTTTATGGCTTTTGCTAAATGGTAATGGCATTGGTTTTAAGATTAATGCCTGTACGTTATTGTGATAAACTATGGAACAGTTTTTGTATTCATTTTCCAGTAAATTAGTGGACTCCTCAACCGACATGTAAATAATTTTAGAGACCTTTTATACAAACTTATAACCACAACGCATTATTTATTTTTATTTCTGTTGACAAGATACATATTGTATGATAATATCTTGTTATAGTGTCAAGCATATATTAAATACTGTTTTGACTTTTTACATTTGCCAACTGAACTGTATAACACTCCCCTCCTTTTCATTTCATTTTTTTTTTTAGATTGTACATGTATTTATGATCATGGAAAAGACAACTTTGAAAAGGACATTCAAATGCAAATTTCTCGATCATGTTTAACTTATCTTTGTATATTGTACAGAGTATTGAAATTCTTATGAGGTTTTAGAAAGATAAATTTGACAATTAAGATTACCCAAAGTTATTGTGTTTTTATGTTTGATTATTTGGTTTTTGTCTCGCCTGCGTAGCAAAAAGCGAGACATAGGCGCCGCTTTTCCGGTGACGGCGGCGGCGACGGCGACGGCGACGGCGACGGCGTCAACATCAAAAACTTAACCTAAGGTTAAGTTTTTGAATTTTTGGTATAATTTTTAAAGTATAAGTTCTTAGTCAATTAAACTTTGACTATAGGGTAATCAAGTATCCCCAATCATGTGAGTAGAATTTCAGATCACAAAGTCAAGGTCAAAGGTCATTTCAGGTCAACAGACTTGGACTATGTTGTAGCATCATCATCGAAAACTTAACCTAAGGTTAAGTTTTTGAATTTTTGATATAATTTTGAAAGTATAAGTTCTTAGTCAATGAAACTTGGACTATAGGGTTATCAAGTCTCCCCAATCATGTGAGTAGAATTTCAGGTCACTAAGTTAAGGTCAAAGGCCATTTAAGGTCAACAAACTTAGACTTTGTTGTGGCATCAACATTAAGATTTTCAAAATGCTTCTTCTTCGTTATTTTTCAACCGATTTTGATTCTGATTGTTTCATATGATAGGGCTAGGAGGGAATTTAAAATTTCTACACAGAATCGTGAAATTCATTATCTATGCTAATTTATGCAAATTTATTCGAAATCACAAAAAAGGCTTCTTCTCCTTCATTTCTCGACCGATTTTGATTTGGTTTGCTTTATATCGTAGAGCTAACTTTGGTACACTAAACTTCTACACAGAATTTTGAAATTGTTCTCCATTAATTAATTATGGTAATTTATGCAAATTTATTCCAAAAATAACAAAAATTGCTTCTTTTCCCTCATTTCTTGACCGATTTTGCCTTATCTGGTAGAGCTAAATTTGGAACAATAAACTTCTTCACAGAATTGTGAGATTTTGCTCCATTGATTATTTATGGTACTTTATGCAAATGAAATGAAATTATGTCCCTTCCAGGGCATCAAATTTCTATTTTTTGACCAGTTCAAAAGTGTACCACATAAAATTTACGATATTTTTTGTTGTGAGATGCGGATGAGCGCTACGTCATTGACGTTCTGGTTTATCATATTGAATTGCGTTATGCAGGCGAGACCGCCGAGAGCGTTTCCCTTGTTTGATTTATATTTTACCTACATGTGAGCAGGTTAGTCCATAAGGGGTTTTAACATGTAACAGCGACAGGTTAGAATTTTGATATTACAGGTTTGATAATAAGTGACAGGTTGAAATTCATTCTCAACCAAGAATAGTTCTTAAAGGGCAATCCAACCCTTGTAATAAGTTGATTTGTATGAAATCAGAATGGCAAAAGTTTGAACTGAATCGGACCAATAGTAAGGGAGTTATGAATGTTTGAAATATGAGATCACCAAGTCTAAGCGGTCAGTGGATTATGAGGTGGATAACTCTCCCATTTGCAGTGTACAAAAATATCATTAATTTATGTTTTCTCGTAAGTTTCTTCTCCCTTGGGGTACTCAAAATATATTATAGGTAGCATGTTATTAAAGGTCCTCTAAATAGACCCTCCCGAGCAATGAATTTTTGAAAATAATACTTTTTAGTCATTTTATATGTTGAAACAGATGGGAAAGTAGTCTCTACATCACATTGACATTACTGCTTCGGCCAATTTGAAGGGCCCATATGTATAGTGATTACAACTTTCAAAAATTCATAACTTTATTATATTTAGTCAGATTTAATTGAAATTTTCATCAGTTTGCTTCTCTGATTGTTCTGCTTCCTTTTAGAGCAGTTGTCTATTTGGGTTGGATTTCCTTTTGATAGTAGACCCAGATGAAAAAGGGAAAGATCTTTTAACATGTCCCATAGGTTAAGATTAAAACAACGATTACAGTTTACCATAAACTGAAACATGATGCTCAACAGCCAAAATATAAAGTAAAACTTAGATGTCACCCCACCATTACATAAGGCTCATAATTAACCCTTTATAAAATTCATATAAAGATAAACCATCAAAAAATGAAAATGATTTAAATCTTGAATCTCGCATTATCAGTTCCGATACACACTAGAAACTTGATTGGCAGAATTCAATGACAAGAGTGTTTAAAAATGTGATTTCAAATACATGTACACTGAAAAGTAGTTTAGGGACAACACAACACACACAATTAATTTATGCAAGTTTTATTTTGATCAATAATACAGTACCATTCAATATGGCAATACAGATTAATTGATCATTGACACAACACATGAGAAAGAATACAGTATTCTATTAAAATGGTAACAGTTTATTCTCTATGATCTCATTTAAAATCCAGTTCAGCTGAAAAATCTATGAATAAATAAACATGAAATATTTCATCCATCCATAGGGTATCGAACTAAAAGACAAATCAGGGAATTATGATTTTTCCAATATCCATAAATCGTAAAGAGTACACAGTCTTATTGGGGGATACATTTGAAAGGCAATTACAGGTGCCACAAAGAAGGGCTCGGGAGTTGGGACTAAACTTTCATGACAGGGATCATTTTTATGACATGCAAATAAGACTAAAATATGGAGGGGAGATCAGATATTTTAAAATCTCACTGAATTATTTTTTGTCTACAAATACATTTTGATCGATCGTTCTGATATCCTATTGCTAAATTGTTCTTGTATCCAATTACCGTTGAATTGTTCTTGTATTCTATTGCTGATAGGAGTACCAGAATTAGTTTTTCAAACAATTTTCCCTGGATTTACTTTTTCAAAGATACATTCAAACTTGCTGTAGCCAAAAATGTTTGTTTTCCTTGAATATGGTTTCTCATTGAAACATGTACATTGAAACATGTACAAAGGAAACCTGCCTACAAAGACTGCTTTTCTTGTTTCCCTTGAGCAGTCTCTGTATACAGGTTTCACTGGACATAGATATGATTGGATACAGTGTGGGTCCACAGTTTGCAGAGTAACTGTAGCTTTAGCATGTGTTGCGTAATCCAAAGACCTTTATCTGGCCCTGTTTACTAGATAAGCCCTTGTGTGTCCAAAGATTGTTCGGAACACGTGCATGTATGACACAGATATCAGTACTCGGCAGGCACAAGTACTTTCATCAAGAAACTTGCAACAAAAACAGTCTCCGGCTTCAGCTTTGTCCTCCACCATCACTTTGTGGTTCACCAAATCCAACACTGTTGAACATCCGTTTATCCTCCAACCATCTATTAGTTGATTCTGAAAGCGTTGTATATCTCAGCACACAATTTATTGTCCTTGCCTTTATTGCATAAAGGCCTCAATACCAGTAGGTCTTTGCACGTTTTCTTGTTTCCTTGATGTCCAATGCTTCCATTAACTCTTCTTCTACTGTTTTCAATGAGGGTTCAAATGTCTTTTTACACACGTCCTCTGCAACAGAGTCCTTTGGTTGTTCTGTAATTTGATAAACCAGATCGTTTGATGATAAAACACTGATCATTATCCTTCAACACAATACATGTGGTACTTCAGGTATCAAAGAACAGAATTACACAGAGTGAGCAGATATGGATACAGATATTATACAGGGGTAGGTTGGTGAGAATGACTTCTCACTCAATAACCTTCACCTTCCCTCGGTCAAAGTTTAACATAATCGTATCGTATTATAATTGTCTCTAATCTTGTACATCAAAACAAACCAATGAGCTGAAGCAAGACAATCTTTGCTTTACAATATCATGTGCAAATATGAGACATTATATTTCTGAATGTTCATATAAACGTAAATATACCAATAGCTGAAGAGTCTTGGCAATATGAACATGGTTCTAAGATTCTTTCTTGGTTTATTCTTTAAGTTTACATACAGATTATATTAAAATCCAGTACAATGTTCCTTTTGACTAATCCCAAAGTGAGGTTGTGAATGGTGTGGACTGATAAATTGAGAAAGACCCATGGGGCAATCTGCCTCTAGGAATCTGGCATCTGCAAATGTTATACTTCCCTCCAAAGATCAGATGTGTGTGAATTATTGTCATTCCCGATCAATAGACAACACAACTTAAAGCCCGTCTGTACTAGTTTGGCCAGGAGGGATTAGACCACTCAGGGTGGTCACTGACAGGTGGCTATCTCATCAACTCAGGTCTCAATTAACATAAGAAAAAGACCAATGGTCACCGATTAGGCATTGTTTTCTATGTAGAGAGAGCAAGTAGCTACAAGTAGTACAGTGGGGCTTTAAAGTATGCTTATTTAGTTAAAAGCATTTGCTGTTTCTTACCGACATAGCTTTCCTTGGTCTTGTAATCTCTGGAATCTGAGTCTACTATCGGTATAGGGATGATTCTACCGGTCCTCTTGGATACCCGGACTTGCTCGCCGGCTTCAGTGTACCGAAAGTCAATGTCCGTCGGTTTGCTATAAATAAGAATGAACAAACACATAATTATCTTTATACAACACCTACTAAGATTCTTGCAACCTCATTGGTCAATTGGTCAACGGCATCATTCTCCAGCCATGCAATTCCAGTTGATCCTCTCGCACCATTGCATGCTGACGTCACTAACGATGTACAAAGTATATTGTGAGGTAAGTGAAGTCACCGTGCAATGGTGCGAATGGATCAACAAAAATTGCACTCCGCGTAACAATGAACATAAAGCATTGTACGCGCATGGTGCGCGCGTGGTTTGCTGCCTGCTTAATAATAGTGCGCGCTCACTATTGGCAATTTCATCAATAAAACAAATTTAAAAAATCGCAGAGATTTAGGCCTTGGAAAACTGTTCTTTACACAAAAATTGTTTGAATCTCGTTAACGTCCGAGGTGTTGTATAAAACAAATAGTGAATGGTCTTTATTCGTGCAATGGAACAAGATTTTGCATTTGGTGAAAGATGAGACGCTCCATTCAACTCGGCTCAACTCGGCTGCAACTCGTTGAATAAAGCATTTCTTATCTTTCACCTTGTGCAAAATCTTGTACCATTGCACTCATGGCCATTCACTATTTGTATATTATAAACAAAAAACAACACATGGTTAAGTCCTTCGGCCTACACAATTCTTAGCACAACATAAAACAGAAAATGTGTATTGAATGGGTAGCAGTTATCTCTCAGTTCTATCACGCCCTACCCACAAAAATTCTGTGAATAATAACCAAATCCAAACAAAATTTATGCCAGTTCTAAAAACAGCTGATATCTGTATTTGTCTCCATGAGTTAAATCATGTTTACAGGTGGAAAATTTCACCACTCTGTTTTGGTCTGGTCCAAGTCTGCAAAGGCTATACCAGTATGAAAAGGGTATTTGTTAACTTACTTATCTGAAGGGTCCACTAGGGCGACCTCCCTCACATCCAAGGGTCCTTCACTTTTTATCATCGTCCCCGAGTATCCTTTCATTTTACCTATCCTTCTGTAATGCTGTAAAATTAAAAAACAAGAACGAAGAAACGATAATCATTTGTTTAGTTCCTATAAGGAAGCAAAGAGAGTCATGAGTCAAAATGATAACTAATGTATACCATTGTTCATATACTTACACAATTGAGACCCTCTACTATGACCCAGTTTCTCTGCTTGATGATATCTAAGACCAGTCCTAGTTTGCTGATATCTCGTCCCTTCAGAACCTGGACCTAAACGTGTGATATACAGGAAAAGAAAAGACCAAATATTTGAATTATTACAACAACAATAGACTAGAGAAGGAATATTTTCTTTCAATTTATATTAGGTACTCAATTTAACTTTTGCTAATATATCTTGAAAATATTTTACAATATAATAAACAAACTCTAAGTTATAAAGAGGATTTTCTACAATCGATACCCTTGACAGTTTTAGATTTTGTTTACTATATGAATATCTGTAAATTTGATACCAAGTGCATTGGCAGTCACTTCATGCCTTTAGAAATTTCAAAATGTGAACAAATGCAAGCTTCCTATGGAGCCATAATGTGTCACTCCCTGATTCCCCCCCCCCTCCTCGACCCCCTCCCCCCTGCTTAATTTAAAAAAAATAATAATAATAAAAATACAAAATAACTACAATATAAAATAAATAAATAAAAAATTAACTAGTTATTTTTAAAACATGTTTGTGTGAAATCAAGGAGATCCATTGTGCATAATAACATACACACATGTGACATGTACACATTTCTGTTTTCTTACCAGGTCACCTTTGAAGATCTTCCACTCCTTGACCGGTTCGACCTGGACCTTAGGACGATCTATCCCAGGAAGGTTCTGGACCTGAGCCTGAATAGTCCAGGGCCTGGACATGGTGTAGCGATAATGTCGATTAGCTTTCTTCCAAGCAGGAACCTGCTTCCTCGCCATGAGTAAAAGATCTGTTAAGCGCACCATGATGATCTTCTCTTCATGAATCTGGATTGTGTTCAGATTTATTACATGGAAAAGAAGAACAAAAATCAGCCAATATTCAATTAAATAATTCTTATAATAATAACAATAATAATAATAATAATAATAATATCTAATTTTTATATAGCGCTTATTACAAATGTCTCTAAGCGCTTTAAATTGCTATCATTTAAAATTCAATAACTCCATGTATAAATTATAAACTACCAGTAGATAGTTATTCTTAAAATTTCACCATTATTCTCCAGCCTTAGGCTGTAGGCCTATACAACTATTTAATAGTTGTGTAGATACCTCCAGTTTAAACACCTTTACAGCGTCTCCCATGTCCTAATAGCAGGAGACTTCAACTATCCCAACATTGATTGGAAGCTTGGAAGGGCAAGGTCCCATACTGAACAGGAGTTCATTGAAACTGTCGCTGACTGTTATCTACACCAACACATTGGGGAACATACCAGATACAGAGAAGGCCAGCGTTCCAGTATGCTAGATCTGGTTTTCACGAACGAGGACGGCATGATCAACCACATAGACTATGTACCTGGAATTGGAAGAAGTGATCATATTGGAATCCTCTTTGGCCTTACAGTATACACACCAGACACCCACACCCCAACTCCTCACCTCCAGTTTTACAGAGGGCAGTATGATGATATGTGTAAAGAGCTAGACCAAATCGAGTGGGAATCTGAATTGGAGAATAAAAGTGTAGAGGATGCTTGGGAGTTCTTTTTAGTCACCCTGACTGAAAAAATGGAGAAGTTCATACCGAAGTCAAAACCCAAACACCGCAGAAAGAAACAGAGATGGATGACTAGAGAGGCACTGAGGAAACAAAGCCAGAAACATCGAGCTTGGAAAGAGGCACAGAGGACCAAACATCCTGTGGACATTATGAGAGCAAGGAGATTAGCCAAGCAGCTGCAAACTCTGACCAAGCAGTTATGTAGGAATTTTGAGAAAGACCTGGCTATGAATGTGAAATCAAATCCCAAGGCATTCTGGAGGTATACAAATAGCAAACTCAAAACCTCTTGCAGACTAGGCGAACTCAGAACTCCAGACGGTGAACGAATATCAACTGATAAAGGAAAAGCGGATGCATTGAACACCTTTTTCGCCACTACATTCACTGATGAGGATAAAGGGCACATTCCAAAACTCCCACCAAGACACAAAGGAGAGACATTGACATCTATCTCAATCTCTGAAGATGATGTTTATAAGAAGCTTGTCCACCTGTCAAAGTACAAATGTGCAGGACCTGATGGCATTCACCCTTGCGTTCTAAAAGAAACAGCCGCCTCAGTTTCAGAGCCCCTCTCCATAATCTACAATGCATCATTGAAGGAAGGCAAACTACCAAGTGCATGGAAGGTCAGTCATGTGGTACCTGTCCACAAAAAAGCCAGTAAGATGGATGTTAAGAACTACAGACCAATCAGCTTGACATCAGTACCATGCAAAATTCTGGAGTCACTAATTCGAGATGAGATAGTTGCCCACCTGATGGAAAATGACCTACTGTGTGATGAACAGCATGGCTTTGTTCCAGGACGCTCTTGTGTGACACAGCTTCTGACTGTCATGGAGGCATGGACTGAGATGCTGGATAAAGGAACCCCTATTGATGTGGTATACTTAGACTTCAAGAAAGCTTTCGATAGTGTACCTCACCTTCGCCTTCTATCAAAACTTGAGACATACGGTATATGTGGCCAAATTAAGGAATGGATAGCAGACTTCCTCCAAGGTAGATGCCAGAGAGTTAGAGTCAATGATAAATTATCTGACTGGACAAAAGTAAGGAGCGGAGTGCCGCAGGGTAGTGTTCTCGGCCCAACAATGTTTGTCTTGTGCATCAATGACCTACCAGATGGACTTCAAGGGTCTGTCAAGATCTATGCTGACGACACTAAACTGTATGGCAAAGCATCCACCAAAGATGATCTGTGCTCAATCCAATCTGACCTTGATGCACTAATGGAATGGAGCAATACATGGCAAATGCACTTCAACACACAAAAGTGCAAAGTACTACACACAGGCCCAGGAAACGTCAAACACATCTATGCCCTTGGAGATGATGTCCTTGAAGCTACATCAGAGGAGAAAGACCTCGGCATCCTCATTGATGACGAGCTAAAGTTCCATAACCATGTGGCATATGCTGTCAAGAAAGCCAACGGAGTACTCTCCTGCATCCGTCGCAGCTTTGAGTGCAGAGACAGGTCCACAATTCCAAAGCTGTACAAAGGCCTTGTCAGACCTCTCATAGATTACGGAGATTCCATATGGTACCCTCGCTTCAAGACAGACTCCAAAACCATAGAGAGGGTGCAGAAGAGAGCTACCAAAATGATTTATGACATCCGCAACCGTCCTTACATAGAGAGACTTCGGGCGCTCAACCTTCCCTCCCTCGAATATCGCAGACGGCGAGGCGACATGATTCAGGTTTTCAAAATCATCCATGGACTTGAACGCATCCCAGTTGATACCTTCTTTGAACACTCGACTAGCAACACAAGAGGCCACAGTCTAAAGATCGTAAAACAAAGATGCTCAACGAAGATTAGACAGGATGCATTCAGCCAACGTGTCGTCAATGACTGGAACACACTTCCTGAAGAGGTGGTCACTGCTACCACGGTGAATGCCTTTAAAGCCAGACTGGATCGAGTATGGAAGGACAAGCGTTTCTGCTCCCCATATGAGTAGAATACCCGACGCAGAACTGAGCCAGACACTTACCAAGAAGACACCCAACTACGAGAAGGAAGAAAAGGAAATTGAACTGGAAGCCCGACTGCTGAGAACACAGCATTCTTCCAGAATCTCGGGTAAAGGTAAAGGTAAAGTCTTTTGGAGGAATCCTACCATTAAGTGTACAACTTAAACTTTAAAGTACTGTAATGCTCTTGAAGTTGAAATAGCAGCATTTGACGTTATTCTATTTTCCATTTTTCTTTTAAAATGCAATAAATATCAATATACTTAATAACATTACTTTCTTTTTTGAGCAGTGCCCCAATTACAAAGGCACATGGGACTCTTGGGAGAAAGACAGAAATTGATGATTGTGTATCCCCCCCCTCCACTTGGGTCTTTGCGTGCCGGGTGGGAAATGATTTTAGCATACATGCAGTTTTAAGGTTCAATCCAACCCGTATTTTAATAATAAGTTAATTTGAATGAAAGCAGAAAAATTAGAGAAACAGAATGGCAAAAGTTTGAAATTGAAATGTAGACTCTAGATCTAAGTTAGGATTCAAATTAAAATTGAATAAAAAGAATAAACGGACAGGACAACCAACGGACATAGACCTCTAGAATCTACTACGATTAGATGGGGTTAAGCCAAAATGAATACTATTAAATAGGCAATAACTGCCGATATGCTAAATCATTTGCCACCCCACCCCCCCCCCCTTGCCTTGCCTCTTCGAAAGATTACCGTATAGGGCCTAGGCCTACGGGGTACTAACAAAAATGACAATACATGGGACAATACATTAACTTTAAGAAATCGACATGCGGGAGTTTCGACAAAGATTTAAGGCCGAAGAAGGGACAAATTTCATTTGAAAATTATACATGACATAAATTTAACATTCTGAATAATAATACAAACAATTTACCTGTGATATCTTTTGGCGTAAAGACAACAAACCCGGGGCAAATTAAACAAATCTATCACGTTCAATTCACTGAATATGCAGACCGATTATGCTCTTATTAAATGGACAAATAGAAAAAGAAAATTGTAGTTGGTCGGTTGAGAGGTGAACACACACACATAAACAGAGCTAACGCGTATCGGCGTGCGTTCGGGCCGCGCTTGGGTCGTGACGGAGAAGTTGTGGGGAATTGTTCTGTTGGCTGACTGCCTAAATCGTGATAACTATTCCACTGAAGCTGAAGAGCCCAAGGCCAAGCCAAGAAATCCGGATTTCGTCTTTTACTAGATTATGTGAGTAGACCTAGATCTATTTCATCAGTTACGCTAGCAACACTGAACTGAAATAAACTGTAGCCTAGGCTGTGTAATCTGTGATAAACGAAAAAAACAAAAGACAAAAAAAAAAAAAAACAATCAAGAAGAGACAAGACTCAAGACAAGTCAAGAGGAATCTTCTCATCATATTTTTCTTTTGAGTTTTGAGCCACTTAACTAAACTGATTAGACCCCTAGAATCTATACACGTTTATTTCCAAATTGTAAGATCCTCGAAGAGTCGAAGGGATGGGTTGTCTGCCACAGCAAGTCAGAGTTTTCAGTGAGGCAGTGAGGTTGTATCTTTCTGTGGCTGTGAAAATTCCATTTTTTATCTCTATAATCTTACAGGAATTGTCTTTTTGTAGATGGTATCTTGCTATTTACACTCAATTAGACCTGACTGTTGTTTTTGGAGGGTTTTTTCAGCATCCAAAGGGATATATTTTGATGTGGATTTTCTGAATCACCCTGCATCTATATTGAATGTTTGCTCTGGTCCCACATACTGGATTCATAGATCCTACATGCAGTTGGACATCACTCTGGGACAGTCTGGCAGTAGCTAAGTTGTGTAGTTCTGCAAGTATAATTTATCTTTTCATGAATGCTTTTACCATGAGTAACTTGCTTGACATGTGATTCATTTTCATTTTCATTGTCATAACTTTGTTGGTGTTTTTGAGCCTTGAGAATCCTTACGCATGTCTTCTAGTGATCTACCCTACATGTACACTGTACATCTGGTCTAGTGTTATAAGTTCCCACGTACATGTACGCGCTGGATTTGAAGCTGTCTGCTATTATAGTCTCTGCAGCCCTGCAAGTATTATTATAGGACAAGCAGTAACTTTTCCGGCAGCAAATTTATTTCAAATGGCTAGCAACGCAAGCCCCCAGCCTTCTTCACAGCTTAGTAAAAAATCATTGAAGCCTGGCACCACATGTGTACTTGGTGGAAAGGTCACAAGGTCACTCAGTCAAAACTCAAAGCAGCAAGTTAAGGGAAATCTGTCACTAGACACAAGTCTGAACAGTAGTCAATCCTCAAGTATTTGCTCCAGTCATCCTAGCATGGGCAGTCAAGGTCGACAGAGCTCTGCAGTAAAAAATATGAGCAGGGCCAACAACAGTAGACCTTCGGTGGCGGTGAGCAAAAGAGGAAAGAAAAAGGAGGAAGCAGAGAATGACAAATCAACCGGTACACATATACCACAGACTGACAGCAACGACCTGTGTTGTGATGGTTGTCATGGCACTCGCACAAGGTCTTTAGTCCAGTGTGAATTATGTAAGAATTGGCTATGCCCACGATGTGCGAATCTTGAAGCTAAAGTTATCAAGGACATAGGGAAATGGAGTACTATTCATTTCTTCTGCATGACATGTGATTTAGAAGCCAAACTGAAATTGCACACACCATATACTTCAATAAAGTCTGATGAAATCACAGTACCTCCCTCTCCGAACCAAGCTAATCATGTCACGGGCCCACAGACCGATCATTTGAAACCTGTCTTGGACATGATGCAAAGAATTGAGACTAAAATAATGAAGCTTGAGAATGATAATGAGCAGCTGAAGGCAGATTTGCACCATCTTTCATACAGATCACCTCTCCCTGTCCCTGAGAATGCTTGCCCTCGCACGTGGGGACCAGTTGCTAACACCCCTGCTCAGAAAACAGAAAATTCACCACAGGATGCTATCCCAGATGCAATACCAATCCTGGAAGAGTACAGAGACCGAGACAGAAGGAAGAACAACATTATCTTGCACAATGTAGAGGAGAGCAAATCAGAGACAAAAAACAAGCGACAAGAAGATGATCAACAATTTGTTCTGAAAATTCTCACCGTTCTTCAGTTCAAGGATATAATCATTGTGAAAACAACCAGACTTGGTTACAAGCAGCGAGACAATAGCATCCCTAGGGTTCTCCTAGTTCAGCTGGCTGTCCCAGGAGATGAGATTCTCTTCAAAGCCAAGATGCTGAGACACCATGGAGTCTACAACAAGATATTTATTGACCCAGACCGGACACCTGATGAAAGAAAAACACACAAACTTCTACGGGATGAGTTGAAAAAGAGAAGGGCTGATGGCGAGAAATGCATAATCCGTGGTGGTAGAATTGTACATCTGAGAGACACCAATTACCACTCTAGCTATTCATCACCTTACTCATCAGGCTCAGCTAGCTCTCGAGCAAAGCAACCTGCTGCAGTCGAAGTAGTAGACATCTCAAGTGATGAAGAGGTACACTTCAAAACAACACCACCCACCACTGTCAGAGAGAAAGAAGAGCATGTTAAATTCCCACAATTACATGACAACAAGCAGAATGCTGATAGCCAAAAATCAGGTATGCTAAGGATTTTGAAGCAGAAGGAAGGATATAGTTTTGCAGTGCAGACAGACGTGTCAAAGTTGGACCATGCTCTACCTGCAAATGTATCAGACCATGCAAACTTGAATGAAGCTGAATCTCACACCATGGGTGCAGCACTCCTGGATAATGGACCACGTCCCATACATGTAGCTGCAGCTACCAACAACGCCAGTATTCCTGTGACAGGGAAGCAGAAAGTTCAGGCACCACTAAGCAGGCCTCATAGCCCCAACCATGAAAGTGAAGCCCATCCTGATTTGAAGTCGCAGCAGGCCACGGAGGATAGCACCTCTAAGGAACTGTGACTAGTCCCTTCAACAGTTTACAGTAGCAGGGAAGACTTTAGTAGTAGAAATGAATCTGATGCTAGTGATGATAGTTTTTATGAACGTAACAGAAGCGATGATCTCACTGCAGATGAGGGTGAAAGAGGTACTTGTCATAAGAGTAGTTATGCATATGAATGCAGCAGTAGCGATGCCAATATAGCACTGATTTATCAGGAGAGTGACAATGAACTATCTGTAGACGAAATAGAGGGAAGTGAGAATGAAAGTACTACTACTACCAGTAGTAGTAGTGACAGTGAATGCTCACCTGTTTCTACAACTACAACCGTGGATGGAGGCTCTTGGCATGTGAACGATGATGACATATCCAGGCTACAACAAACAAACTCACAATTCCAGAAGAGTGGCAAATTGAAGGTGTTTTACACAAACTGCGATTCCCTTTTGAATAAACGGAATGAACTGCTACTGATACTTGAAGTGCACAGAGTGGACTTGGTCTTCCTGACTGAGGTCTGCCCCAAAAATGTTAAGAACCCAGTACGTGAACAGGATTTTTTCCTGGATGGATATGACATTCACTCAAATGTTGCAGATGGAAGGAGAGGTGTTGCAATTTACGTATCACATGAAATTTGCCATCTTGTACAGGACTGTGACATTCAAACAAATTTTGATGAGTCTGTGTGGATCACACTGCGACTTGCTGGTTCCAAGAAACTACTCGCTGGATGCATATACAGAAGTCCTTCTGTCAACAACCACCTTCAGCTACGCAATCTGATGCTTGAGGTTTCTAATATGAACTCAACCAATCTTCTGATCACCGGGGACTTCAATTATCCTCACATTGATTGGGGGTCCTATGCTGGAAGAAGTGAGGTAGATCAAGAGTTCATGGAAACTGTAGCCGACTGCTTCCTATATCAACATGTCAGTTTTCCCACTAGACAAAGGGAAGGTCAGAGAGACAGCACCCTGGATTTGGTGTTTTCAGATAATGAGTTCTTGATTGATGAAATTGTTTCGTTGCCCCCACTGGGGCTGAGTGACCACCTTGGGCTCTGTTTTACTATCACCTTATCGGCTCCAGAAGCAGACAGACGACCTCCAAAGTTTCAATACAACATTGGGCGATATGATGACATTTGTGAGGAGCTTGAGGAAGTCAAGTGGGAAGAGACTATGAAGGATATGGATACTGAACAGGCTTGGTCGTTCTTTCACACAACATTAACAGAAAAGATGATGAAATGTATCCCGCGTTCTGCTTCACGCCGACGAAAGAAAAAGCACTGTTGGATGAACAAACAAGCGCTCAAACTGCAAGCACAGAAGCATCGTGCTTGGCGACAAGCCCAAACTACCAAGCACCCAGCAGACATATCAAGAGCTAGAAGACTGGCAAAGACACTCCAATCTTTCACAAAAGAGCTGCGCAGTAACTTTGAGAGGGATCTTGCAAAGAATGTTAAGAAAAATCCAAAAGCATTCTGGAGATATGCCAAAGATAGTCTGAAAACAAGAGGTGGGCTACCTGACCTCAGAAAGACAGATGGAACCTTCGCTACATCAGATGAAGAGAAAGCAGATATCTTGAACACTTTCTTTGAGACAACCTTTACTGACGAGGACACTTCTGCTATACCAGTTCTGGAATCTAGGCAACCTCCCGAATGCTTATCAGCACTTGTCATTACTGCAGATGATGTACATCACAAACTTAGTTTGCTTTCCAAGTTCAAAAGTGCTGGACCGGATGGTATCCATCCCTGTGTTTTACATGAAACCGCAGCATCAGTGTGTATTCCATTGGCCATCATCTTTACCAAGTCATTTCAAGAGGGCAAGCTTCCCTCAGCATGGAAAATTAGCCACGTTGTTCCTGTGCACAAGAAGGGGAGCAAGTTGGATGCTAACAATTACCGCCCAATAAGCCTGACATCAGTCCCCTGTAAGATCATGGAATCTCTCATCAGAGATAAGGTGGTTGAACATTTGATGTCACATGATCTTTTCAGTGATTCTCAGCATGGATTTGTCCCAGGTAGATCATGTGTTACACAACTGCTCCACACTATTGAGGAATGGACTACCTGGCTAGATCAAGGAGAAAAGGTTGATGTTGTCTACTTAGACTTTCAAAAGGCATTTGACAGCGTGCCCCACCAACGGCTGTTGTCAAAACTTGATGCTTACAAGATCCAAGGGAACTTCAAAATATGGATTGCTGATTTCCTTCATGGCCGAACACAGAGGGTGGTGGTAAATAATGCCAGATCTCAGTGGTGCAACGTGAAGAGCGGGGTGCCCCAGGGCAGCGTACTCGGCCCAACACTGTTTGTTCTCTACATCAATGATCTCCCTGAGGTGTTGGACTCCACTGTAAGAATTTACGCAGATGACACCAAGGCTTTCTCATGCGTCTCTACTCCTGACCAACGCAAACTTCTCCAAGCTGACCTGTGCTCATTGACAGACTGGTCCTCAAAGTGGCAACTCCAGTTTAACGCAAGAAAATGCTGTGTTTTACATCTTGGATCTGGAGACTGTCAGGAGCGCTACACAATCGGGAGTTCAGCCCTGAGTACAGTTGAAGAGACAAAGGATCTGGGGGTACTTGTTGATGACAAACTGAAGTTCCACAGCCATGTGTCGTATGCCATCAACAAGGCCAACAGGGTCCTGATCAGCATCAGACGTGCCTTTCAGTGTCACGACACATCCACCATTCCCAAGCTGTTTAAAGGACTAGTGCGCCCCCTCCTTGAGTATGGAAATGTAATCTGGTCGCCAAGGTACATTTCAGACGCAAAAGCTGTGGAGAGAGTACAGAAGAGAGCAACAAAGATGATCTCCACAATGAAACACCTACCTTACATAGAGAGACTTAAATACCTAAACTTGCCATCCCTTGAGTACAGGAGAAGGAGAGGAGACATGATTCAGGTGTACAAGATCATTTATGAGCATGACAGACTCAACCCTGACCACTTCTTCCAACTAGCAGACACACCAACAAGAGGGCATAGTCTCAAGCTTTCAAAGCCGAGGTGTAGGACAAATGTAAGGAAGAACGCATTTAGTCACAGAGTGATTGACGACTGGAACTCTCTGCCTGAAGTAGTAGTTCAGGCTCCCACCATAGACGCCTTCAAAACCAGGCTTGATCGTTGCTGGAAGGAACAGTGTCATATCTCTCAATACTCGAACTGATTTTTTAAATTTCTTTGCTCCTGGGACATTGTACTTGGTACATTGTCCAGTCAAGATGCAACCTCTTGCCCCTCTGCCTCCCTTGCATATAATGAGAATTATTATTAAAGAGTATGAGTAAAAGAAGATAGACCAAGAAGATAGACCTGGAAGCTCGACTGCTGTCTCAGCATTCTTCCAGTATTTGCGGTAAAGTAAAGTAAAGTAAATAATAAATTTCGAGATAAATTCTATCTTCAAATGTGTAAACTACAGAATAGATAACCTTCGGAATGTTGGACTCAGAGTTTTGTCTTATTGTGCTGAATTAACCTAAAGGATAAAACCTTGGACAAAACTTTAATAACATATTTTTACTAATATAAGGGTGTAGGTCTAGAGCTATCAAATGACAATATCCAGGGCAGGAGGTACCCATCTCAAAAACAAAACTGATTCACCGGTCATGAATTTTTTTACAAGTATTCTATGATATACTATAATCTACACAAATTTTGAAGTACCAGCATATTGCATCTCTTATTTAATTGATCCTTAGCTGCAAAAGCTGGTGCTAATTTCAATCTTTTTTAAAATTCCTAATTCATTTTTCATTTAAATAATTGCAGATTCCCTAAAATTACTTTTTTATTTAAACCAGTGGAATTGTGACTAAGGCTATTTCTTGGCTCCTCTTTTCGCCGATAGTAGGCCTATCAATTTTACGAGATGTCTAGAAACTCTTTGTAAAAACGCTTCTGGAAGATCAGAGACATCTCTGTAGTTGGCAAATAAAATTATGACTGTGTTGACGTTGGTTTCAAGAAATGGGCCCCAGATTACCAACATGGCCGGACATACATCCTGGTGGCCATGATAGATAGCCTTAAGTTAAGGGCTTGGTGATGATGTAAAATATGACATTTATTGATATCATATTTCAAACTACACTAAGCCCTTAGGGCTGGGTGGTATAGATCTATACTTAGAAGCCCAGGAAGGTAAGAGCTGTTACTATTAATTATTAATTTCATTTCATTTATTTAATTTTATATATTTCACTCTTGATTGAAAACTACACTCAATATAAATACAAATAAATAATACTCAAAATTTGATAATGAAATGGGGAACTAATACACCCCTGAGGGTTTAGGCCTTGTACAATATTGTAGTACCCTAATAATAATATAAAATTCTTTAATTCACAGGTGAGGAGTGGCATGTGAGGATGGCAGGAGAATCTAGGACGAGGGGGAGAAACCTGATCACTGGCAGATTGAAAAATGAAGAGGGTTTTACCAAAGAAGGCCCTATCAATCACGACAGTGGGAAGGCTAGTGTGATACAGCTAGACCGAGAGCTGAAGGTAAAAAACAATTGAATCAGTTTTAATTAGTGAATCATTTAAATATGTTCAAGGGAAATTCTAAAAAAGAGTTGATCACTTGGACCTGTATGGACTATGGACTACCAAATTTCAATCATGCCATTCATTTCTATTGAAAAAATATAAAGAAATTAGTTGTAAAAATTTCAGACATCATTTTGAAATGGCACAGTTAAACTTCATAAAATGTGTTTTTATGATGAAGGTAAAGCTTCAGAGGAATATTGTATTGTTTGGCAAAATAGAAAAGTATTAGTTGGAAAAAAATATCTAGTTTCCAAAACAATATATGCTCTGTGAAAATAGCACAATGAAAACTGAATACCCGGTATACTTATATCTTGTAAAGCCAGCAACAGCGAGTCTGGCCAGATTGAATGAAACTAGGAAAGTACAGTTTGCTTTTGACAAAAATGGTCTCTGTGCATGGTGAAAGATTTTATGTTCCATTATTCTCTTTGTTTTTGTATCCATTTCACAGGCCTTGAAGGAAGAAAATACCAAATTGCAGAATGACTTAGACAATGTCAAGTGAGTGTCTGAAATTGTATAAGAAAAGTGGTGAAACTCTCCCCCAATCTCTGGGGAATTATAAATTGCATGGACATAATCACATAATTATATAGGGTCCCTCAATTTAAAAGGGCAATGATAGATACACATGTCATCTCTGCTTGCAGCTTTGGTTATGCATGGTCCCAACACATTTATTTCCCTGTGTTGCATGTGATAGAAAATCATCAAAGTTGCATTGCAAAATAGAGTCGTTTCTGGTATGACCTTAAATATTTGCAGGTGCCAACTGCCTGTGTTCAAAATGTTTTTAAATCCAAAATGTGAACCGAGCTTTCTTTTGTCAGGGTCAGCTGATCCCCCCCTCTCCTTTCCTTTCCTTTCCATCTTTTCATCCTGTGAAGTAATGAAATGTGTTTCTTTTCATTTGTAGGAGCATCTATGATCAGCTTGTGACAGAAGGTCCAGTGGAGCAGTATGGTGAGAGGAGAGTGAACCTACTCAAGGCACAAGTAATTCAACTAGAGAGACAGGTATCTACACAGAAGATGGAGAGGAATTTTATGCGGGGGGGGGGGGGGGGGGGGGGGGGGGGAGGGGGTGAGTAGAGAAATTATGTAGATTCAAATTATGTGTGATTATTATCTAATCACTTAAAAGCTTGTTTAAGATAACTTTTAGAGTCTTATGTCTCCTAGAATTGAAACTCCTGCTGACATTTAAAAAAAAAAAAAAAATGAGACAGATTACCTAATATTGTGGACAAGTTTGAGACTTTTATGAACTGTTTGAGCTGCTTTTAGAAATCAATGGAATGTGTTTTGTTCTGATTACTAATCTGAAATTGCTTGTGTTTCATGAAATACTTATTTTTGTTGTGTACGTATGTTTGATGTTTTTCTGCTCAAGGTGCTAATGCAAGCTGAGGCTCTGAGCTCTAGATCTGGTGTCCTTTTTGAAGTGGAGAATAATCTTCAAACAATTGCTGATAATTTCAGGTACTGTATTAAACAATTGAATGATTTTTTTTTTGGAGATGGTATTTGTCATTTGTCAGTGGAATCTGTGCTCCATTTATCCACTAAAATGATAAGAGTAATTTGATTGTAGATACCAAGGCATAACTTAGGGAACCGCAATAACTGCTTCTGTGGAGGTTACCATAAAGACTGTCCTAACAGTAGTCCAGGTTTAAGTGGTCAGTGGATAGATTTGACCTACTCTCCTAAAAAAATACCTTAATTCTGTATCCAAATGAACACACAAAACTGATAACAACATGAAATTGAGTTCTCCTTTTTATTGCTTGACTGTCTGGATTGGCATAAATTGGCATAAATTGGTGGTAGCTAGAAGGTCGATCTTCAACGTCTTAAAATACAAACAGAAGATGAAAAATACCTGCAGTGCTGCTCTCATATCATGCTCAATGAATCTGACCCCGTCTTCACACATTTATTTCTATTAACAAGATTATTTCAATTATTCACTTTGTCAAATTGATTTGTACTGAATAAGACACATGCCAAGTTAAACCCAGTTGAACTTTGTCCATATTTATCAATTCAAGCCTAAATTTTGTTATAGTAAAATTCATTGTATTAATATCATGTCTATTAACCAGGGAACTGCTGGCCAGCAAAACTAAAGGCCCATCTGTCCAAGTTCAAAGGTCACAGATCACTACCATGATAGAAACAGCTGAGTCAGCACGCCTTAGACTGTACAAGAATCTAGAGGTAAGAAAAGAGGGGTGGTAGCTAGAAGGTCGATCTTCAACGTCTTAAAATAAAAATACTACAGAATTTGCAAGTTGAGATGCCTTTCCAGATTTCTTTGTGGTAACAAATTAAATGTGCTCATGGTAGATGGTAGATGACAGTGGGTATGCAGTAAATGGAACAATTCCAACCATTTGATTCCTCAATGCCTTTCTTAATCCCAACAGTACCCCAAGTGTTCCCTTCTCAATCTTTTGTAAGCCTCATGTTACGTGGATTGAGTGAATCTAAATTTGGGTTCATGTGAGCTCATCAAATAAACTAGGACATCTATCCTGGCCACTTGGAACTTAGGATTAGATAAAGCTAAAGGCTTAGAGACAAAAATGGCCAATCTATTATAAAAGCTAGACAACTCTGAAGAAGATCTACATTGTGATTTAGAATATAGAGATTGGGAAAAATAATTTCTTTAAAAAAAATCCTCAATGTTTCAGATCAACAACCAAGAGAAGTTGGAACAGCCTCTTATCTTCACAGGCCTCTATGCTAAACCCAAACCACATCGCTATGACAACAAACCAGTCGACATCATGGATGTATGCAGTGGAAAGATAGAACATCTCAACCTTAAACATGTGGTGAGTAGCTGGTCATTGTATTGACTAAAGTTTGTTTAATGGTTCCTTTCAAGGAAGAATAGTAAAAAGTCATTGGAAGGACTATGTACATTGATGTATCTTTAATAATATTTCCATTAAAAAGAAAATACACCAATAATATTCTGTAGTAGGTAATATCTATGAACAGGACTGTCAATTACTTAGAAAATATCCCCCTACCTTCCAGTTTTGTTTTGCTTGTTATTGTTCATTCTTTATAAGATGAATGGATCAAATTCTTTAAGTAATGATTTGTAAATTTTTGTTTGTTTAAACCTATGATTTTTTTCCTAAATTAATCTGAAATTGAGTGAAAATTCATCCATTTAATTTGTCAAATGATGTATTATTTGGTATTATGTTGATATATGTTGGTGAAAGTGAGATTCAATATTTAAACCAATAATGAAACGCGGTTCACACAAAGATCTTTATCTATTCTGTGTTAAGGTTTACACTGATTTGTATAAAATCAGCAAATACATTGTGGTCTCAACTCTGATGGTAGTAAACTTAACCCTTTTCAATGCTGATATTTTGTCTGCAGGCTAAATTAGAATCCAAACTCTTCACCTTGAATCAACAACTCAACAGTCTCCACCAATCACTTAAGACCTGCTGGTCACCTGACAGCCACGCCCTGCAGCAGGCAGCCAATCATCATCTTCCATCAGCTGTCAATCACAGATTGTCCAGCCTTCTTAATGACACTGAGAGACAGTTGGTAGAGTGCTGTCAAGATCTTGTATCGCTCTCAATCCTGGTTCCTGCAGCTCCATGGGTAAGAGTTGAGCGAATGTAACAGATAGATGGATGAGTGAATGGATTAATTGATTGATGCATTTAGATGGATGGATGAATGGCTGGAATGATAAATGGAATGGTGGATGGATTAATTGATTGATGCATTTAGATGGATGGATGAATGGCTGGAATGATAAATGGAATGGTGAATGGATTGATTGATAGGCAGATTGATGGATGGATGGATGAATACATGGAGTATATGGGTGGACAGATTATTAGGTATAATGCTGCCATTAATGTGTACATGAAGACGAGTTTGAAAGGGGAAGATGGAAGATGGAAAACTGATGGAGGAAGGAAAGAAGAGAATAATGGAGGATTTGGTGGAGCAGGCAATGAAATTGAGAAATTAGAATATACACTTGTACAACCTTTTTGTATTAATGCTAAACTCATGCTATATTCCCTGTTGTATGTAAATTGATTTGTGATATTCAAGTAATCTCCATTAAACCCTTAAACTAATTGTCTTTTAAATAGCCTCTCCTGACCAAATCTGTAATTCCTGAAATCAAGACTGATGATGTCATGACAGCTCTTCCCACATTCCCAAGAAACAAACAACAGCAGGTGAGAAGATTTTTAGAGAATGCCAGTCACTTTAATATTAGTTAATGTACAAGAAGTAACAATCAAGGAAATTTTCAGTGAACTTGTTTAATACACAGAGCATTATTTTAGGATAATCCTTGAACTTCCATAACATGTTCATGGTCTCTCGTTTGTAATGTTCAAACATTGTCCTTATGATTATAGAACAATTCAGAATATAGTAATACATTTTTGCGTAACTAATTGAGAGCCAGATCATCTCAGAGATTGTCTTTGATTCATTGAATGTTGACTATATTTTTTTCTTCTCAAATGACTGTTTAATGCTGTAAATGTTCTTATTCCGTATACATGTTTATGCTCAAATTTCAATTTGAAATTTAGTTTTAGATGGAGTATTCTGACTAGTGTTCTGACTGATTTTTGCTATCACTAACAGTTTTATGAAGAGTGTTATCCACAGTCTTTCTAATAGCAAATAATGACACATTTTTATTTCAGGTAAAGTCGGTCATTGATGCTGTGATCAAGGCTAGCAACTATGCAAGGAGAGTCTCAAAAATGGAGGTATGAAAGCTTTTCATTATACTTTTACTTGTTGATGAAATGAACTGTAACAAAAAAATCTTTTGAACTTAAATGTACATGTAGTAGTTACTAAACAAATGAAATTGAAGCAAATTATTGACAAATTGTTACTATCAAACCAGTATGTAGTTCAACCTGTAGATTTGCAAAGCCAAGTATCAGCATAAGATGTAGGTAGGGACAACAATGTGGACACAGCTAGACCTGTGTGCTACAAATTTTGTCATTTTCTATTTCAAATACATTGTCATCTTCATACTGTATCTTAGGCCAAGGCTTGTGTAGAAGAATTGAGATTCCACCAGGCTCTCTACGATGTACAGTTTAAGTACATGGCTTCACTTTATGCAGCTGTAAGGTGAGCCTGAAATATATACATGTTTTTATCCTTTTTTTGGGGGGGGGGGGGGGGAGGAGAGGGGGGGGGGGTTCAACTTCAATTTTGGGAGAATTTATAGATATAATGATGGAAAACGTGAATATGTAAAAACCTTGAATAACTCATGATGCTTTTAAGAAATTGTAGTGATTTTAAAATGTAACTTAGGCTTGTGATTTGGGGCAACATTCAGATACATAAAATTACGAGTCCAAATTTGCTTTTGTGCCTACCAAATTTTGGCAAATTATTTTACAAGATATATTGAAGATGTTCATTCATGCCTTAAGCTATCATGCAACCTGTCTGCAGTGCAATACTTATATACATGTGTTGTTTATTATTGACCTAACTTCCCTTTTCTGTTCTAGAGAAGCATACATGATGTTTGAAGACAGCATCCAGAAGACGCTTTGTGGCCCTATGAAAGGTAAGTCTACCTGATTTGCTTGTTAATGTAGGTATTTTGTAAAGGATCAGTTGTAGACAACATTCAGAATTATCATTGATTCTTATCAAAAACTTTTTTGGAAACAGAACATTTTTTCTGTTTAAAACATTTGAATTTGTCAGAAAGGCCAGTGTACAACATGATGGGGTTATAAACAAAGATATGTGTAGGACTTATATTCAAGCTAGGCTACTGAAGTCATGCCATTGTGATGTTGTCTTTTTGAGTTACATATACAGTTTTGTTTTGTCTTTGTTCGTTTTTCTGGCAAAAGGCCAAATCATTAGCCTCTCAAGGTCCAGTACAATTCAGTGTATTTATTCAGGAGTCCTAGGAATTGAAGTTGAATTTCAAGTGTTCAACAAGGAAATACAAAGAATCCCATTTTACACATCAAGTGACATCTGATAAGTATACAGTATTCATATATTTCCAAGGTTTTTACTTTTTTTCAAGTAAGGAAAAAATTGATTTGACCCAATTTAAGGTTTAAGTTGTTAGTTGTGGATTCGAAACATTTGTAAGACGTTTCCTTCCGTGTACTTGTACAGGCTTTGGATGTATCAAGTTACATTAACCGCAATGAGCATCAGTGTGAAGCTTATACAGTATACTAGTACAGTCAAACCTGCCTTAATGGCCACCTTTCTGTAAAGGCCACCTGTCTACAGTGACCATGCATTCTGTCTCCCTTGAGAAAGAGATGTGTGTGGTAGAACCTGTCTAGAAAGGCCATCTGTCTATAGTGGCCATGCATTGTGTCTCCCTTGAGAAAGAGATGTGTGTGGTAGAACCTGTCTAGAAAGGCCACCTGTCTGTAGTGGTCATGCATTGTGTCTCCCTTGAGAAAGAGATGTGTGTGGTAGAACCTGTCTAGAAAGGCCACCTGTCTAAAGTGGCCATGCATTCTGTCTCCCTTGAGAAAGAGATGTGTGTGGTAGAACCTGTCTAGAAAGGCCATCTGTCTATAGTGGCCATGCATTGTGTCTCCCTTGAGAAAGAGATGTGTGTGGTAGAACCTGTCTAGAAAGGCCACCTGTCTATAGTGGCCATGCATTGTGTCTCCCTTGAGAAAGAGATGTGTGTGGTAGAACCTGTCTAGAAAGGCCATGTGTTGACATTGGCCACTTTTTCTGTTTCCCTTGGGTGGCCTTTATAGACAGGTTTGACTGTACATGCATAACATGATGTTCACTGAAGAAAACAACTTTAAAATTTTACGGTATGCTAATTACGTGTATTATCATATCATGAAGTCAAATTAAAATAGAATGTACCATTTTTCTCTTCCTGTAGAAGTTCTGTCATCGTTTGAGAAGTTAAAGCAGACAGCCTCTGAAGAAGCCTTGAGAGAGTTCTTGACAGATTTCAAACTTCACAAATCACAAGTGAGTTCAATATGCACTCCATCAGTGGATTTGGTGTTTTGTGTTTGTTCTATTTTGTTTTCTTTGTCCCAAATTTTAAAGTGCAGTCATTCAAAAGCTAAGACGTCATGGTAGTTTATTTGGGAGATGGTTTTGAATATTATTTTCAAATGGATTTTCTTCACAGCTTAAACTACCTACCAGTATCTGTATTGTATACTATTAATAAACCAATGGCCCCAATCTGCTTTGCAGTATATATTTTGACAATGTTTTGGTAAAAAAAGAATAGTAGGTTAAACATACCCATAGGCACAATTTTACTTTGTTGTAAGTCCGTATTTTTACATCTTAGGAAATGTATTTGCAGTTTAAATCCAAGAATTAACAATACAGTAATTTTTAACTGAGTTGCTTCTGTATTACATGGATATTCCTCTTTCGCTAGGGTCACCATTATTTTAAGAGGATTTTGTAATGGATAGTGGTGTCAGTGTACAAATTCTTTTCAGTAGTGTTTTGAGAGAGTCAATGAGTCATAACTCTCTTCTTTTTTATATTTTCAGTTGGAAACAGCCGTTGATGGTTTGACACAGACTCAGGGTCAGGGTGCCGAGGCCATATCTGAGCATGGACAGCAGTTCCTAGAGGCGGTCAAGACAGAGGCCGAGAGGTCAGCGGAAGAGAGGGACAGACTCGCTGAAGAGTTGGAGGAGGTCAAGAGAATAAGAGACCAGCATCTCAAGGAAGGGATGGATGTCTTGAGGGTTTCAAAACCTGAAGATAGTGAACCTGCTGTGAGCGGTGGGAATGAAGCTATGGATAATGGAGAAAAGAAGAGCTGACTGTAAAAGGGACGCTTGAGTCAATATTTGTGCAATATATGTTATGTAATGTATCGGTATTCAAATGAGTGTAGGTTTCCCACCTTCCCAGCTTGTAGCTCATACCGTCATGGAATCACTACTTACACATACCGTCTTTCGAGAGCCAGAGGAGGGATAATTCACATACTTCAACATAGAGTTAACAGCATCCTGGCTTTTGACAGACGATACAATTATTAGGATCTCTGTCCAGTAGTGCCGTGTTTGTGCCATCGAACTGGATCGACCAAATTAATTGATTCATAATATATGTATATGCAATATTTTTTCCCGTAACATGAGAGTAATTTTAATAGTTTCATACTATTAATTAAATGTATTGTTAACTGTAACTGTATAATTGTTTTAAATGGGGGCACGCTACAAGAGTCCTATCTCGCACCCCGGGGCAACGTGTCTGACACGGCCGGTTGTAGCAACTACTCCGAAGATCAAGATTACAGTAATCTTGATCTAAGGAGACATGAACGAACGAACAGACGATACAGTGTATAATGAATTGGCGCTCTCACTTTTCTGAGGCCTCATTGAAATTGAATCATTCACATGTGAATGCTTTCCTACAGGCAAGGAAAGTATGCAAAGACTATTGTGTGTGTTTGGTATATTTACATGAAAACATTCGTCTTTCAGTGAAGTACTGTAAAAGAACAAACATAAATATACTTCCATGTGAGATTTTTGAAATGCAGCGTGTGCCTTCCTTGTATCAACTTCATTGTATCTGTCACTTTCAAAAAATGATTTACTAGGAGCTTATAATCCTACATATCTGTATCATGTAAGTTGAGCTTGTTATTTTGACAGTTATTTTGATAGTTATAGGGGAATTATAAGCCTGTTTATGAGAGTAGGTCAAAGTTCAATGCCTTAGACTCTCTGCAATAAAATAAGAACCATCTTTTGTGCCTGTTCTCCGTTTGGTGCCTTTTCAGTACTTCTTACATCAACTTTAAAGTTTGTGAACTAAATTCTCTGAAATGATGTGTAATTCTAGCAGTAGGATGTTGCTTTAGTTTAAGATATATGTTTATGCAAAATAGTATACATGTGTTTTCCATTACTTAGATTTTTACATCATCTTGCAAATGTTACATGTTAATAATTGACATTATGCTAGATTTAATCATCACCCTTGTAAATTTGATTTTTTTTTTTTGCTTCGGAATGGAAAAATGATGGGTGTTGATAATTTCTTTGAAGTGATTGAAATGTCATTCTACATAAATGGGATTCTGCTCTACGCTTCATCAAAAGTTTACCTTTTGAATTTGTGATAGATTGAATTGAGAAATTAAATTCAAAACTGATTTTCAATTGCCCCCGCCACGTAAAAACGACCATGATATATGTCTAAAGAAATTGAAGTGTTGTGGTGTAGTGGTTCACACACTTGACTTTGTGATGAAAGGTTTAGGGTTCAAATCTTTGCCCGTCCCTAGTATCTTTAGCAAGACATTAATCAACATTTGCCACTCTTCACTCAGGTGTGCATGTGCTTGGGCTTCTCGGCCTAACTTGGGAAAACTATACCATGCACGAGCAGCATTTTCATTGCCTACCAGTATGCATTTAAGCCTTGATTTATGCAGTTGATTAATTTATACAATTTAATTTTTTCTTATTGACTGTTATTGTGAAGTCTATTTTGAAATAAATCTGGTGTGTGACACTTACAATCATACAAAATATGTATATATGAGATTTATTTTGGAAGTAAATACATATACAGTCAAACCTGCCACTTGCCTACAAAGACCACATTTTTGTTTCCCTTGAAAATGGTTTCTCATTGAAACATGTACTAAAGGAACACCTGTCTACAAAGTCAACTTTTTGTGGTTCCCTTGGGCGGTTGCTGTAGACAGGTTTGACTGTATATATATAAATGTCAAAATGTTGTATCAAAACATTCACACCACTCTCATGTGCCTATTAAATAACACATTCACATTCTAATAATCACATTTGAGCTTTTGAATGTCGTTTGAAGGTTATTTCTTCCTTTATTCATACTGTCAAACAAATAATTATACATGTACACTCAAAGACACATTGCTATAACACTTGTAATCATAGTTATGATATATATATATTATGTTTCTTTAAAATCAAACTGAAAAACCATATATAGGTATGTCATTTAGTATACATCATAACACAGGATTGGGTTATCTACATGGTCTCTTGAGCATTAACTGGCTCATCGAGACGCATTTAATATCTGTACATTTTCAATGCTTTATCTATATATACTTTACAATATCGACCGAGGCAACAGTTAATATGCAAAAAATGCTCCACTTTCAGTTTTTAAATGCAAAAGAAAACTCCATTTAAATCCTTCACATTCTCACCAACACTCACAAAAACTATATAGCCACATTGTGATGCATGGAATAATAAGAGATTTTTACACTAGAAAAGTAACAAGACATTGAAGATTAATATACACTGGGTTGTTGTGATGGGGAGGAGCAACATATCTTTCAAAATCATAAATACGTCGTCCATCAAAGTTGGTCTGGTTATACATTTTGTTGTGATTGGTTAATTAATATTGGAAAAGTTACACTGAGGGAATGCCTTTTATACCGATAATGTGCTTCATTTCCTACATCACTTTTTGATAACGGCCCTATTTTACTGATAAGGAGTATGGGAAGAAACTTTCAGTTATACTCGGGGGAAACAACCTTTCCTACGATTCAAACCACATGTTGATTTCTTCTACGTGTTGGCGCTAATAATCTACTAAATCTTGAAAGGCTAGGCTACTACTGAACTACCCGCATGGCATTAGGCAAGTAGACCGATCGGCATGCCCACAATCCATCAAAGATCAGAGCTGAATATGTTTCACAAGATCAGGATTTACTTGGGCAAATAAAATCAATATAAATAATAATAATAATAATAATCCGTTTTTTTTATACAGCGCTCAATACACCGATCAAATGTAGTCTGATGTGTAGCATTGAGATTATTTTAAGCTACAGGGAACATTCAATGTTGTATGATGCATTTAAATTGTATATAATAAGGTTCATTTACTCTCATCTGTATACCACCCCCCCCTTTTTTTTTTGTTGGGGGGGGGGGGGGGGTGGGTGAAAATCTAGTACAATGTACACAAAGATAACTGTCTACATGGCGAGCTATCTGTCTTTCAACAAAGCACTCATACTGGCCAATCATACTACAAATGTCCTACTCCATCAATATATTGATAAACATATACATATTTTTTATTCAATATATACAATGTATGTTGATATATGTTGAAGTTCAATAAAATTTTCTGTTTGTTTTAATGATGAAGGGTATATAGAGGACATAGAAAATGATATGCTGCTTGGCAACAAACTGTGTCTGTTCATTTGGGACACAAAACACTAGCTTCATCTGTTCCATATCTATTCTTGTATTAAACATTTTGCAGGTTTCAATCTTTTCTCAGGGGAGCAAATTAAATCGTACAATAAGCACACTACACAACACTTTTCCCATCTCAATTACATGAGCTACTCTCTAAATTGTAAATGCTGTGCCTACATGTATGTCCTAATGAACATCCATAACCATTGGTAAACTATTACCATCCAACTTATTGCTTCATGCTTTTATTTTAGATATTCACTGTGACTTTCAACAAGACATTGGTTACGAAGCTTGCTTTAATAAGATATGTGCGGAAGACATTTCATCTATGCTACATGTAGACACCTTTTACTACTAAAAGCATGACAACCACACTAAAATCACTCACTGTACACGACTGTACACAAACTAGTCGCTCTATGACATAGGCTTTAAACCACTTGGTTTATTCATGCATGTATCATCCTAACTAAATGCACAACTTGAGTCCCTCAACTGAAAAGACAAGTTCAGCAACTTACAGGTAACCCTAGCCTTATCTGTACCTAATCAAAGTGTCAGATGTATGTTCATCTAGATACTAAATGACATCCATGTGATTCCCAGCATCACAAACTGCAGAAATTACCTACTACATTTATAATGTACAAAATCCAATTTCATTCCTGTTGTTTTGTAGAAAGTAGCAAAAGGAGTAATACAATGACAATCTTTATTTTAGATGAGTGAGTTACAATTAACAAGTGATGAAATAAGTACAACACATGGTACAGCAATGGGAAAAATGTTTATCATGGCAGACGCCTAATAAAAAGTGAAGACATTTGCAACTTGATTGATGAACACTATTTTTGGATCAGCAATCACTTTTTTCTCAAAATTTCACTGATAGGTTTGATTTCACAACCAAGGTTTGTGCTGCTCGGAATGGAGTAGACTACACTTAAGAATATTCTTAATCCTCCTTTTATTTTGATAGTCTCTCTGGCAAAAAGCCAAAGCATCAGCCACTAAAGATTCAGGAAACTCAGCATATTTATCAATGAATCGTTGGAATTGAAGTTGAATTCAAGTGTTCAACAAGGAAATATACGGAATCTCATTTAACACATCAAGTGATATCTGGTACATGTATATCTGGTGAAAAGAAACTCTGTGATGGTTTACAAATGCAAGAATGCCATGTGAGTTCACAACGATATCTTGACCGGACGACTGGAATTTTTTCCATGTGATCATTACAATGAAAACATACTGTAAGAATTCACGGAGTAAAACTGAAGAAAATTTGAGCTCTTCTGTATGATATATTTGAAACTCAATTATGTGACTACTTTAAAAGAACTAGAGTCAACATTTTGTAATTCCAAAGCAGTGATCAAATAAACGCAACAGCAAAAACATCAACGAAGCACAAAACTGCAACACTTGAAGGAAAAAACTTATCAACATTAAAACCTAAGAATCAAGAACCATGTTTACAGTTACACTGGTTCAAAGAACTTGGAACGTTTACCAGTATCTCACCCTAAATGTTAATGACTTTACACATAAAGATGTATGCATTAATAATGTTGATGCAAAAAACTTATCTTTACAAGGGGTTTCTGTAATGTACAATGCCGACTTACCTACATTGGAGTATATCAAATTCTAAATTATTTTGCTCTTAAGAGGACTGTAGTGTTTTCAAAATATTCCTGAACGTTGAATATCTTTCATAACATATTGCTATTATAATTCAAAAAATGGGCAGTAATTGTTAATTTTTGTTTTAATTCCTCAGAGTCTCTTCCATTATTTTACATCAGAAAATGCAAAGCAATCAAATGAAATTAATGGAAAATTCGATGAGGTGTGACCATGATAAGTCATGCCAAACAATTAACAGAAATAATCAAACTTGATTTCCACCTGAATGCAATATTCAGTGTCATCTCAAGATTGGGAACATATTACAGGAAATTATGTAATATTGGCAAATAAATTTCAAGGGGGAAAATACAAAAATAAAAATAAAAATAAATATGATAGCAAGACACGTAAATAAATGGAGCAAAATTATATACATCTCAACCAGGTTCATTCAGTATAACTGCCACTTAACAATTTCTAACAAAATTATATTAATAACATGAACACATTACCTAAATGCAAAAGGAAAAACTGAGGAGGAATACTTTAAGTCATTATATACAATACATATAATGGGGTTTCTTAAAAGCCAAACTTTACTTTTTAAAAGTTGCGCTTTCCTTTTTTGGCAGTGCCTAAATAATTACTGCTACATAATTAATGCCCAGCTCGTATTAGCAGGGGTATCACTGATTCGTTAAACAAAACCATTACATGGTTATAGGCAAGAAATATGTAAAAATAAATACTTGAGTATCAAATCTTACACTACAATCTGCTCAGGGCTTTTCTTGCATTTTCCTTCTCACTTTCTATCAATACCTTACCTTTTTCTTGCCGCTCTTGGCACACAAAACTATAGCAAGTGTATTTAGAATCTGTCATCATCATGATTTATATCGAATATGAAATCTTTATCAGATTAGAATTGAATATCTTGATTTGCGACGTTTGATAATGCTTTATAGGGCGAGATTTTCCCCTTGCAGCATGATTTCATAACAAACAGTTTCTACAGTATATGAAGGATGAAGGATAAAAGTTGTGTGAGTTCATATATCTTTTTTTCAAAAGTATGGTACATGTAAGTTTACAAGATTGATATTTCTCTTTATACATGTATTAGACTGAAAAGAGAGAGATACAAATAGAGAGAGAGAGAGAGAGAGAGAGAGAGAGAGAGAGAGAGAGAGAGATTGGAGGATAGAGAATGGAAATGCTATCTAAAAAATAAGCAATAACATTTTAAACTAATAATCTGTAATAATATTGACAATCACCTGCCTTTGATTACAAATCTAACTCCAACTTTACAATCCTTCCTTTCTAGTGAGTAATTGTCCCTTTTGGTGGTCAAAAAAGTTTCGGGATTCATGATCATATTTATAAGCATGATTCATTGACATGGGTGAAGTGAAGAAGATAACTACATTGCAAGAAATGGATGAAGATCATTTAAGGGTACAAATAGAGATGGACGTGTTTCACTGCATCTTTGAGTCCCAAGACCCGTTACATACAAGCTGTTTTGCTGTCGTCCTCTGCTGACAGCTGTAGAGCGCCCTCTATGTTGGCTACAGAACATTATCTACACCATCACTACCTTCAAGATTTGCTATAGACACTGATCCTGTTTTCGCTCCTTGTATCTGCCATAGCTCAGAAACTTCAAGAAAGCTATATAAAACATAACTCATGCCTGGTCATAAGCCCGACTCGTAACACAATTCCTTGAATTATCTTTTACCATGATTTGGGGGAGCCCCATACACATGTAAATGGCAGACTATATTCTCAAAAAAAAGATCACTGCTGATTCAAACAATTGAAATGTTGGAATTTCTCCTCCATAGCCGATAAAATATAAATATATATCTATATTACATGTGCAGGAATATACACATAATATTCCATATTACTTTCTGTGTTCGTGGGTAGAATAAAATGACTGTGATGACTCTTTTTTGCTTTGCCAATTTGCTATATAATGATGGGAGCTCAGAAAAACTTGCTGGAATCGTATACACTATCATTCAACACAGGCCTATAGATAAAAGTATGTGAGAGATAGTAAAAGTATAGACACTTGTAGAGGGAGAAACATACATGTACATTTACAATTTAGAGAACATACGCATATAATCTCTAATCTATCCACAATTCCTTTACAGATTGTCTTTATATTTTTTTGGTGCAAAATTCACATTTCAAAAAGCTCGCACAAATGACTTCCCTCTCGCTCCACACGAGCACTTGAGCACAGCAAATCTTTGGAACACTGATATATAAAAATGGGAGCGCAGTTTCCTTTTCTTTTTCATTTCCGACTTCAGACAACGATAACTGAGGGAAGGGTTGTTTCTCTAGACAGCTGTCTGTAGGGGTTTGACAGTGTCGTTATGAGGAGGACTCATACCCATGGTTGCACATATCCATCCAGCAAAGTCTACTCTCGCTTCCTCAGACATTATTGCAAATGTATGTACCTGCAAGCAAAATTTGGAAGATATATAAAATCAAAAGTTCAACAAAGGAACACATAAAATAAAAATGTTGTACAGGTCATTGGTGTTGCAAATGATTTTGTTGCATTTCTAAATTTTCTATATTATACATGGTCACGTATTCAGCAACATATATGTCTTGGGGGGGGGGGGTGGGGTACTCACAAATTAAGACATACTGGGGTGTGCTGCTCTAATGGGTCACATTTTCACAAATAATCCCTGAACATAGGTCTGTTTTTGTCAAAATTGTGAAAAATAAGCCTTTATTACAAGAAAAATTGCCCAAAATGACCTTTAAAAATGGGTAGGAGTTTTGAGGCTTGAGAGGCACACCCCCATCCAATCCAAATCTGAGATTTAAATATTAGAATTGTGATTATTGTTCCTTTCTTTTCTGCGATGCCTGCATATTCGTGAATTGAATATCCTAAAAGTGTTGTCTACAAGTGTGTGTACCTGATTTTGAGGTTGGAAAAACATATGTTACCAAAATTCCTACTTTAAGATGAATTTTGTGGTTGAGCTCCGATACAAGGTTAAATTTGTCCAGGGACCAATGATAAACTATGCGCATGTAACAACATGATAACTAAAAATGATAAAAGTGGTCACATCTGAACAATAAAATCTTGTTTGCTGTCATTACAGCACAAGGACACTGCCAACATCATTGTATTGACAGGTTAAAACAAAGCAGTAAAATCAATCAAACCAATATGAAGATAAATGTCCTTACCTTGAGTTTCTTAAGATCTGCCCTCTCATTTGGATTCTTGATCAAACTGAAAGAAAACGAACATGAAGATCAAAAATGTTACTAGCCTATCAAGGCTAAAGTATAAAGAATAAATGACTTCTGGGTGATAGTATAGAGGATCATTTCAATATCAATTCTTACACCAATTGTTATGTTTCTACCCTTCACCATTCATTTTCACAAGTTAGAACAAGGCATGGCGTGAAATGCAGCTGTTTACAATAAAATACATTGCAATATTTGTTGGGGGAGGGGGCTCAGAGGCCTCCCATCTCCAAGAGTATGTTAAGAGTTAAAATGTTTTCTTACCATACGTCAACAAAATCTACAAATTCTTCTGAGAAGGCTCTGGATGGTAATCTTGGTGGATGCTATAAAAGAGAGAGAGAGAGAAGAAAAGAGAAAAAAATCCATATTTAACATTTTTACATGTCTTATTTGTTAAATGAATACAGTATCAATAACTCCAAACATAACATTGCTTCAATGCCATCTTAACAATAAGAACTCAATGTGTAATTTCTTTTCTTTAAGTAGCTTGTTTTAAAAATGCCTAAACTGTGCCACAGACATACAATTGAAATAGCGTTGATGTATTTTGAGTAGCAAAGTATTATGTTTATCTAAAATCTTATTGTTTTATTTGAAAGCATGACGGCTCAGCGGTAGAGCAGTGGTCTCGTAACCAGGTTCGAAACTATTTCGATACACTATGCTCAATCATCAAGTCCCTCAGAGAGGACTTAAAGCTGTCGGTCTCCTGGTTGCTTTAATACTAACAAGCATACACATGCTTTCTTAGCAGTCAAGTACAGTAGACCAACCAACTATCATCACCATCATCATCATCATTATCTATACGGGAGTGTAGGATATCCTGTAGGTCTCCCGGTCAGATCACTTGGTACATTAGTAAAGGTCTATAAATCAGTGCATACACATATAGTCCCTTAGTAATCTCAAAATTGTTTTGCCCCTTGTGGGGACTGTTACAGCAGTAAGGTTCACCACAGTTCCTCCATGAAGTCAATAATTACCTCTTCTACGATGTAATTGAGTAATTCAAAGATGGCCATAGGTCTTGGGGAATCTGAAAACACTCCTCCAACTCCTGTAAGAAGATAGAAGATTTAAAAGAAAATGGTCTTAGTGATCAATCTAAGAAGTATAGTAGAATAGTAGCAAATAGTAGCAGAACATTGAATCCAGAACAATAACATGTACATATTCCCTAGTCTATCATTATGATCATTACCCTCAAACAATTACTTTTTTCTTTCTCAGGATAACAAATGATGTCCTAGATGGTTCCTTGTCCTAAGAGTTCATTTTACTGAGGGGGGTTGGGAGGGGGGGGGAGGTGGAGAATTTTTCTTAGGGACTGTTGATGGACCGATAGGCAGTCGCAAAATCCTTGTGTACATGTACATACAAGTAGCTGATTTAATAAAATGCCTACAGGAACAATGTGGTCCCTGTGTAAGGCATAGGGGAAGAAGAAAGTTCAATTGCAACCGGTTACAGAAAACGATGCCAGTAGTGGTAAATACGTTCCACAACATGAGGGGGGGGGGGGGGGCATTGTTCAGATGATAATCGAGCATATGAAGGGGGGGGGGGTATCTAGAATAAGTTGTCTAGGTGTCAAGGGAGTTGGTTAAAAGGTACTCATCCTATAATCCGATCTGAGCATCAGCGAGAAGAGATAGGTACTAATGTACTAATCCTCTTCAAAATCTTCCCATACAGTAGGTCACCACAAATGTTCTTTCACAATGAAATTATGCAATTTGGAGGTACATATCAATACTGACTTATCTCTTAAACACATGAGAAACAAATAGACCCCTACTAAATTTAACAGTTTCCACATATAAGACATACCTGAACATTGCGTGCAAAGGGGCAAGAGTTGCTATAATTGCTTAACTATTTCATGCTATTGTTCATGCATCTGTTATTTGTTATCTAAATGTGCCTTACGAAGGTTTTAAACACATGCAAATTTGTGTTTCAAAATAATAGTCCAAATTCTTGAAAGACGTCTATTACTAAAGGTCAAGTTTAAACCTCCTCCAAAATGAGTGACTTTACATGTAGTTCATCAATTCATAAAATGTTTTTAACATTAACCTACTTATGATCATTTTACAAATCACTATAATTCTGTCTGAAAATACAAAAATAAAGTCATTTTAATAATATCCTCATATTAATTAGTCATTTTTTTTCCATTTATTTTGTTACTTCATTACCCGTAAGGTAATTTATGTAGAATTAGAACTTAGAAATTGATATGTTGCCTTCCATTATCATTGGGATAACTTGAGCAAGGTTTCTATATGTGTAGCTATTTCAAGAATATGGGCCAATATCTTCACAATCACTTTGACAGAACAAGATCTGGTGCACAGGTTTAAACATTTTGTGATTGTACTTTAAAAGGTAATACAAAGTTTTGGTATGGGGTCATGAATTTAGTTCAAATGAACATATTGGAAGCATATACGACCCTACAATATTCAGTGATCGTTGTCGCGGTCGAAATCGACTCTTAAGTTATGAAATTGTAAATAATAAACTCTTTATGTTGAATAGCTCCCTCTCAAGGTCAAGATATTAATTAAGCTATAAAATAATGTTTATTGACTAAAATTGACTGATTAGCTATTCTCGTTCGGAAATTATATACCCCAACTACATACTCTGAGATTTTCATGGTCGCAGCTACCATTGAACGGCCGTAGGAGCTATTTGAAATTTATCCAAATTTACTGGGAGCACCGGTAAATCTTTATATTAAATTTTTCTCGAAAGTAGAAGTGTTTTAGGGGCTAAAATTTCTGGTGTTTTTAATACATCCACAGGGGCATCCAAATATGTAAAAATTGTAAAGAATCACTATCCACCCATTTTTCAAAATTTCCCAAAACTTTGTATTACCTTTAACTTGAGACATGCTAGCTAGACTGTGACCAATAGAACAATGACACAAAGATTGACATTGATAAAAAGGCATGCCTCATGCACATGCGGAATGATTAATACCGGTATGTATAATTATAAGTTAAGAATGGAAACTCCAGTCTGGTAACAAGTTGCTGTAACTTAAAAGAAGATAGACATGTACCGTACACAGGATGTTTGTGTGATATTTGACAATCTTTCATTAAGAGATTTTACCAGACTTCCACCTCTTTTTTTCTTCAGAAAAAAATTGTTAAAAATGTATGACCAGAATATATGAAACTTGTCAATTTAAGGCATCTAGGAAGCTTAGTCATTTCCTTCCTATGAAATTCAGAAAATTTAATGAGCCAATTATGTCATAGCCACCTGACTAATCACCAATTGTTCTTCATGAAACATGAAATGAGATATTTCATGAGACGTTCATGTAGTTTGTACATGACATTACTGATATGTTTACGTCAGATTTTTGTGTTTACAATTACAGCAACGTGGTATGATTCTGGACTTCCTTCCCTTTAACATCCGGGAAATAAATATCTTTCATGATTTCCAAAGCAATTCAAGGGGAAGTTCATTACAATGCAAATTTTGAGATGACTCGTTTGTACAATGGCCCGGTCTTCATTTCATTAATAAAATAAACTTTGAAAAAAAGAGAGATTTTTTAATCCAATTTTGTCATGCTCTCAATTCATTCTGAAGTTAAAAAAAATTCTGTGGATTAATTGTCATAATCAGATTGGCAATTCTCTCATGAATTTTGTGTGAAACGAACAAGACTTTGTTGCTTTGCATGATATAACCAGTACTCACTTCACATTAAGCAAACAAACAACTATGTAAGGCAATGAATGATTTTAACACTGGTATATGGATATACGGAGACAGAATACCTTGTATAACATCACAAAGTTGCCAATATGAATGTCCCAGAATTCATATATATTCATATATATATTTCAGATTGTCTTTTAAAACAGATTTCTTTTAAATCATGCCCATCAAAACTTGCCAACGCTACAGGAAACTTTCTCTTCAAATCATCTTCATGCACGGTTATAATGCAAGCTAATCTAAACTACAAAATAAGTACAGGTACACCTACAGCCAAAGAGGGAAAGGAAAAACCACCAAATTACTATAAAGCCTACAAAACACAAGACACATTCTAGCACGACAGTCTACTTGTACTTCAAAGCCAGACAATAAGCCATAGAACAATTTCAACTCGTCACATTGCTTTAAGACCACGAACATGCACATGTTCTCCTTGGTACAATAAATGCATCAAGCGAATCAGGCTTCTTTATAATTCTTTCACATAAGTTTTGTTCACACTTTTGGTACTGTCCACCAAAATGTGATTATGTGAACAGGGTTCCAAGAGTAAACATGGTTTGTGTCAAAATTGGAAAAATTTATTGGGGGGGGGGGTGGAATTGTTTTCTTTTGATTTCCATACCATATTTTGATTCATCTCTTTTACTACCCCATTAGTTTTTTGTTTTTGAAAAGTTAATTTTTTTTTAAAAACCTCAACAACATCAGACAAGGACTTGCTGTCCTACAATAAATTACAAATAGCGGTTTTAGTTAGGGCTATAAAATAATAATTTGGTTACTTTAAAATATGCTTAGATTCATTCACTGTCTATCAAGTGAAATAATCTTTGCTGTTATACAAAGTGAATACGCTGTAATGTTATGAAATCAAATAAAAGTGTTATAAAATGGTAGTAGGTGATATAAGGTTAAATGAAGTGGTTGATATAGGGAAATAAAATCATTATTTTTTTTTAATGATACACTGTATGTGCTTAAAGGAAAATTGTATTCCTGTTTGTGAAGAGCCCAATATAGCCTGATAGCATCAACTGTTACCACTGATCGGTCTTGGAGTACCGCGAGGTCCCGACTGACTTGTTTTCCGAATATTCTTGGTCTCTCCCGCCTGGAGCTCGTAGCCGAAGAGGTTTGCTAGCGCCGTCTCGTCAGGGGCGGGGATGGGGTAACGTCCAATGGCCATCTCGACCAACGATAGGCCAAGACTCCAGATGTCAGACTGTACTGTGTAGTGTGTGCCTTGCAGTCTCTCAGGCTGGGGTGGTGTTTAAAGGAGATAAATAGATAATAATAATAATAATAACAATAATAATATTGTGTACCAAGGGAAACCTCATCAGCTCCAATGATGTTCTTCCTAAGGGCCCTGCAATTAATAATTACTCTCAGCGATTACCAGGGACCCATTTATATACCTGGGTGGAGAGTGGCAAACATGGACAAGCGTCTTGCCAAAGGACGTTAGTGCCAGGCTGGGATTTGAACCCTCAACTCTTGGATTGAGAGTCGAGTGAATGAACCACTAGACCACGACACCTCAATAATTACTATGAGATACAGGACATGGCATCTTTAATAGCAAATGGGTACACAGGTACGGTCCTGTAGCTGATGGTCTTCTGTTATTCCCAATAGGCCTGTCTACATCAGCTTGAGTTTGCCAAATAACCTGCTATTTTCAGACTTGGGATATTATCCCAAAGCTCAAAATTGCTTCCTCACCAGACTGATACGCTCATCATAAACTAGCTTGGTATTTATATTAGCCTGCTATTTCCCAAATAGCAGGATATTTTGAAAACAAGGCCCAGATTTCTCGACTAAATATCCCACTGATTACAACTGCGGGCTGTTGAAATTAACTGGCTAATTCAAGATCGGGATAGTTAAAATAGCGGGTTAATTGGCAAACTCGAGCTGATGAAGACGGGCCTATTGAGGGAACTCCATCTCAGCAAGAGGAAGATGAACGATAATACACCAAGAGGTCTGAACTAAATTCATAAAAGACTAGTCTGATATATTGAAAAGTCTAGACTACCAGTGCATGACTATATTCAAGAAAGAATCGTAACATCACAAAAAAAATACATACCGACATATATGACCTTGTTCCCACAAACGAATTTGCCATAGAGTCGATAAGCTGACCGCTCACACCAAAATCACACAACTTGATCTCACCCCGTGAGTTGACCAGGATATTTGATGGTTTCACATCTGAAAAAAAAGGAGGAAATATAAAACAAAAATTACATAACAAAGAATAAAACTGCAATTAGTCATACCAGACATATTGGCAGAGTATTATATAATGAATCTACAGCTCTGTCCTCTTCAGTATGTTTTTAAAGGGAAACATACATGTACAAAAATGTATACCGAATGTAGGCTGCTTAATAATATTGATTAAGACACATTTCTCATTCAACATACCAATTTGAATGAAGTATACTACATAGTGGTCTTTCACTATTACAGAAATCAATGCTGAAAGAGAAATGGTTATTAAATGTAATGCAATCTTTAAAAAAAAAAAAAAAAATTGTTTTCCTTGAAAATGATTTCTCATTGAAACATGTACTAAAAGAACCTGTCTACAAAGGCCACCTGTCTACAAATACCACTTTTGTGTTTCCCTTGGGCGGTAGCTAAAGACAGGTTTGACTGTATAAATATTTTACATTCTTTTAATATCCATTAAAAACTTAGCTCCTACTGGTGAAGTAATGAAAAGTGTATTTATGTGCTCCCTAAGAACTATTTTTAGTAATGATTACCATCAGTGCAAGCTTCCACTATGAAAGAAGCTAATGTTCACGTTAGCCTGGCTTACAGTCACATACAGTTTCTATATTTAAAATGAAAATTGCCCCCCCCCCCCCCCCCACCCAACATCTTAGAACAAAATAGAAATATTTGAAAAAACATGTACAGACTAGCAATCATCTCCATTTGATATGCAATGTTGTTAAAGATAACTCTCCTTTATACATGTCGCCATTTACCATCATGAAAAATAATGCAGAAAATGTAATGACTTTAGGAAATTATACTTCATACCTTTATTTCTATATCTTATAACAAACAGATAAGACACTAACGAGAGTACACTTTTTTCTTTAGGAAGTTGCCATTCATTCACACACAAAATTGTTGATTTTGCCATAGCATTCACGCACCCCCTTTTTCAGTGGTTAACTGCATCATATGTGTTAATGACACCGTTACATACAGTACTTAAGTCTCTATCAAACTCGTAAATCATCATCAACAGATGATTGACAAAAAAGAAATTGTCTCGACTGGAGGAAGGCTGGAAATCAGGCTAATGCTCAGATGCTGAGACTTTCCAGATCGGTGCAGCTTTTGAAGTATTTGTCTAAAAACTGGGTGGCATTCACTCAAAAGGCCAATTGTGGATAACCTATTTCCCTCACAATAAATCTCTTACAAGCCGTCTAGCCATGTTACTTTGATATTAACAACCCTGCCTACCACCACCGTCATCATCGTCATCAACAAGGAATATAACAAGCAATTTTCTTTTTTCTCGATGCCAGTACGGCACAAAACTGCAGCCGAAGTGGAAAGTACTGAACAAACAGTGTCAGAGAAAATGAAGAAAAAAATATGGGAAAAGGGTACATTTAACAAGAGAGAAATACAAGTAAACTATTAATAAGCAAAACTTCTAAGAAGGTTTCAGAGTGTATATATCTGTAACTTACCAATAACAAAACAAGAATCACTGCTTCTGTAAGGAAAACTGGCACTTCTAATTGCCTACTGTAGATCTGTTTTCCGATTGTTTTTCGTAACAAAAACTGAAGGAGAATCCCTCAAATCACCTGACAAATGCATGGGGGAGGTCTAATCCCTCCTGGTCAAACTATTGCAGATACCCTAATTCACGGTGTATTAACCGCACCTTTTTGCCGCCGAAAAAAAAATCAAAGTCGGGGGTGCGGTTTATACACGGTACACAAAAAAAAAAAAAAAAAAAAAATTAAGTTTTGATTTATGCCCCTCCACCTGGTGCTATGCCTGGCAATGTCTCCCAGCTCAGTAATCGGTGTGTTGACTCACCACTCGGAAACTAGAACAACACTCAAATTTGTCTGTCATCTTGGTTTGAAAGTAATCTTTCTGATAGATTTCAATATGAAGTTTATAATAATAATTCCTCCAAATTTTCTTCTATTACACGGCGTACCACAATGTTCTATCCTAGGTCCTTTACTGTTTTTTAAGTCGGCAAAAAAATATCGGCAAAAAAAAAAAGTCTGCAAATTTTTTTTTTTTTTTTTTTTTTTTTTTAAGGGCGAAAAAGAGGGGTGCGGTTAATACACGAGGGCGGTTTATACAACGTTAATTACGGTAGGCAGGCTTTAAGACACACTTCTTCAAAGATTTGTCCCCCAAAATGTGTTTAAAGAATAAAGACAAATGTTGATAAAAGAATACATAATTTGGGTTTTCTGATGTACGACACTGTTTTCTGTCGTTTCCTGTTTTTCAAATACTGAAGTTATATTTCACATTAAGAGACACATAGAGATCTACATTAAACAATGCCTTTAAGGCTGCTTCAAATACATGCCATGGAAATATAAGAAGCTGTCTCCAATGGCAATGTGGTTACAGCTGCCTAACGAAACATCTTCTGTCTCTCATCTCATCTCTCTCTCTTCCCATCGCTGTCACTTAATTCCATTATCCATTTCTTGGAGAAAAAAATAATGTCAAGCTCATCAGGCCTGTCGTCATCAGCTCGAAACCCGCTATTTTAACTATCTCGATCACAAATTAGCCAGCTAATTTGTGTCTTCATCAGCCTGTAGTAGCAATTTATAATAGCTGGATATGTGGTTGAGAAAATATTCCGAGAAATTTTTGTCTTGTTCCCAAAATATCCCGCTATTTTTGAAATAGCGGGCTAATTTGCGCTCGTTTTCATCAGACCGAAGTACGGAGTCAACTTATCGAATACATCTTGCACAACGATTTATGGTTTTTTGTGTTTGTAAATAAACTATAAATGTGTGTACGATCGGACGAGTAGCACATGCGGTCTGCCGTCGACGGCTGTACTTGTATACCTTTTTTTACAGCGTATCGGTCTGGTGAAGATCCAATTTCGAGCTTCGGGATTATATCCCAAGTTTGAAAATAGCGGGTTATTTGACAATCTCGAACTGATGAAAACAGGCTCACCGTCACTTAATTCAATTATCCATTTCTTGGAGAGAAAAAATAATGTCAAGCTCATACAGGAAGGATGTGAGAAACGGGACAAGAGAATACGCCCACACTGTTGGGACAAGCTCTATTCTCTGGTGTGTCTGCATCAAAGTTCAGTCAAAAAGAGTTTTTTTTTTTGCTTTTAAACGGTCTTCTTGGAATAAAATGCATTTCTAGAATTGTCTGGTGAGAATAGAAAGAGTGGCGACTCATTTCATCCATATGAATTTAAAAGAAAACATAAGAAAGTCACAAGACAAGACCATTTGAATACATTTAGTAGAAATAAAATTATAGATGTTACATATATGAGTTAAAATTGATATCACAATGTAGTACCGGTACATTTATACGTTCATATCTACCCGATATAACAGTAAATCAGGTGAAATCATAAATTCCCCTCAGTTATATTTGAAATAGCGTTTAAAATACAAACCTAAAGTATTGCATTAAAAAAAATACAACTATATCTATAATCTATATATCCACAATTTGCATACAGCTCAAAGCCAATAGTATTGTTAATCTACTCGATGTTTACTTGTACTTGTATTTGCCTTCTGTTTTCAACTATTAAACCATTAGTAATATCCCAAAATGATGGATTGATATAATGCTTTCTCCTTTATTCCTACCGTATTTGGAGTGTAAATACATCTCTATTGACTTGGCGTTGAGTCAGGAAGCATTTTCCAGTCAGATTTCTCTGAATTCAAAATGTCAGCAGGATAAAGGAAGGGCTCTGGCAATGTGACTGTGGTTACTTTCATTCTCTAAAAGTGAGGCCTGATGGCTCAGTGGTACAGAGCAGTGGTCTCATAGCTGGGAGGTCCCTGGTTTTAAACCAAGTGTAGATGCGTTAGTACCCTTTGGTAAGAGATAAATCCTCCATTACCAAGTCCCTCACAGAGGATTTAAAGCGTGTAGCTACTTGTGCCCTCTATAAAGCCAACAATGCCTAAGCGGTACCCGTTTATCCCCCATGGTCCCCTTTTTCTTATGTTAATTGAGAGCTGATTCGATGTGATAACCCACCTGCCAGTGACCACGCAGGGAGGTCTAATCCCTCCTGGCCAAACTAGTGCAGAGAGGCTTTAAAGCCCCTGTTTGTTCACTTGTAAGCATGTATGCTTTCTTAGCAGTCGGGTAAAACAAACCAATCAACCAACCCAACGAACCAAACATAAGATGAGAATACCCATGTATGCTGTTGCAAAGTGGCTCATTCACTTGCATGACTTTCAATGACAAGGTTGGGGGTTCAAATCCCAGCATGGCACTGTCTTTTGGCAAGACATTGACAACTCAACGAAGCCTGTTCACACATGACTCAGTTAATTAACTGTTTAAAAAAAAAGCCGCAACAAAAAAGTATATTATTGAGGTAAAGTGTACTGCATTTCTGAATCTTAGAGGACATTTCAAGCATTTGTTGAATGCAAAGCTACACACGTATATTTTCAATTGTTGTAAATTTGTTCAATTGTCTTTCATTAAAACAGAAATGGTTATATTTTTACCAGCTTTGCTTTTCTTAGGCTGTTACTGCATCAAGAGTAAATGGGGCTTTAGAAAGGAGGGAGATGAAGAAGTGATTTGAAGATGAGGTACCACCTGTTCAGGCTCACCAAGCTGCTGAAACAATGTCAAACACTTACAGAATTGGGTAGATGGGATGGTGGTGAAAGTCGGGAAGGTGATGGAATTGGAAATAGGGATGAATGTAAGAGATGAATGAAAAAAAAGTTTGGTAGGCGTTTAAAAACTATCAGGAAAAAATCTGTTTTAAATTTGTTATCTTCTTAGATAATAAATGTAATCAGTCGAAAAAATAGACTAAGATTGAGGGTTATTATTCAGAGGGATCATTAATCTTGGACCCTTGGAATAATATACATGTAGCTCTGAATAATAGAGCTCTGAATGTAAGAGTTCATTAAAATGCTAGAGCAGGGAAGTAGCCACTTACTCAT